GAAAGGTTAAGCAAACGATTCGAAAGACATAGAGAACACTACAGAAAACGCGACCAAGACAACAGAAAGACTTCTGCTTTTGATTTGTTTGACGAGTTTGACGTTGAGAACTGCAAGATAGAACTCATTGAAAACTACCCATGTGAAAACAAAGAAGAACTGTTACGCAGAGAAGGACATCATATAAAATTGAATGACTGCGTAAATAAATATGTAGCGGGAAGAACACGCAAAGAATATTATAACGACAATCAAGAACGACTCCTTACTGAAAAGAAGCAATACAGACAAGACAATATAGAAATGCTAAAAGAGAAAGACAAAAAATATCATCATGAACATAAAGAACAGCGAAACGAATACTGTAAGAAATGGTATGAAGAGAATAAACAAGAACAGTTGCAAAAGCATAGAGAATACATAGAACAAAATAAAGAAGCAATGAAACGAATGTGGAAACAATACTACGAAGAGAACAAAGAGGCAATTAGACAAAAACGTAAAGTAAAACAAAAATGTGAATGTGGAGGTCACTACACACGCGACAACCGAGCACAACATTACAAAACAAAGAAACATACAAAGTTTATAAATGAATTGAATAGCCAAGCACACTTACAAAAACAAACAGAACAATAATAATATTTAAATCTCACCTTTATTATTATGAGTAATACTAATAAAGATAAGATAATATCCGATATCTATTTTGATAGAGCGGGGTTTGGGTCACAAGCTGTTACGTATAAAGATGCTAAAGCTAAAGATAAGAGCATTACAATGGCTGACGTTAAGGCGTGGTTTGAAAAGAACATAGACAGGAAAAAACCTATGTCAGGATTTAATTCGTTTATTGCCCCTTACGCACATTATGAATATCAAATCGACTTATTCTTTATTACAAATAATGACTTGAAAAATCAAAAGTTTAATGTTGGTATGGTAGTAATTGATATATTTAGTAAATATCTCGTAATAGTTCCAATTAAAAGTAAGCTACAAGACGATGTATTAGCTGGGCTTATAGAAGGCATAAACAAAATGGGCAAAAAACCCGAACTTATCTATTCAGATGACGAAGGTAGCTTGAATAGCAATGTCATTAAAGAATACATCGAGGAACAGGGTATGGAAATACACAGAACCCGAACACATCCCGCGTTCGCTGAGCGTGCGATCAGGACAGTTAAGGATATGTTATTTAAAAGAGTCGAAGCGGATGAGAAAAAGGGTAAAGAGAATATTCAATGGACAGATTATATATTTGAGATAATGATAACATATAATAATAAAATGGTTCATTCGGCTACTGGTTTAACACCTAAAGAAGCAAAAAAGCCCGAAAACGAACTCAAAGTTAAGGCTAATATTGCAATGAATGCAACAAAAACCCGAAAGTATCCCGAGTTAGAGAAAGGCGACAAAGTCAAGATATTTAAGAAAAAAGATAAATTGGATAAAGAAAGGGTCAGCAATTGGAGCGAAAATTCCTATACCATTGATGATATCAAAACCGTATTGGGGCAAAAACATTATTATATTAATGGGCGTGGTTATTTGCGTCATGAACTGCTAAAGGTCTAACTGTTGAAAAACCATAGTTTTCGCTGGGCACGGGTTTTTGCAATAGCTTTTGCGGGATTTTGCAAAAGCTCATTTAGCTCTGTTTCTACTCATTTTAAGGGGCTTTTGCGGGATTTTGCAATAGCTTTTGCGGGATTTTGCAATAGCTTTTGCGGGATTTTGCAATAGCTTTTGAGGGATTTTGCAATAGCTTTTGCGGGATTTTGCAATAGCTTTTGGATGGCGAAAAAACTTGACCCAAAACGGCTTAAAGGTATAACACGTTATATATTATCATGGAAATGTTCAGTGAAATCGAACAGGAGGAAATTATTGAAGAGTTCTTAGATATTATTACAATAAAAGATTACAAATTAGAACTGATTAACGAGAAGAAATGTTGTAATTGCAAGGATTATAAAAAACATAAGGATTACTGTATTCTTGACAAGTTTAAATTACCAGATAATATTAATAATAATATTTATACTTATGCATACAAATGCAATAAATGCAACAGATACGATAGGATAATTGAACGAATAGACAATTTATATACGATAGACCCCGAATACAGTTTTATATGCAAAATGTTAGACTTATTATGTAGTAAAAATAACCATGTCGTAAGAAAAACCGAAACTAAAAACTTTGTTCCAATTAAATACGCAATGATGAAACTTTATAATAAAAATGATGTGAAAAATATTGATATGTATGAGTATCGCCGAGATATCATGATTAAAGAATACGGACGCATTCTAAATATTCATAAAAAGGGAAACAGATATGTTTGTAGCAAAGAACGATTGGATGTAATTGATTTTGATATAATTGAAACGTGTAGGAATCGTGCGCCAAACTATCCGGTTTAATGTAGTTTAATATTATTATTATATAATATTAAATTTCATTAGAGGAGCACCTTGCCCCAGTATTAGGCTTATTGTTATTCTTGGGTTTTACGGGTTAGGGGTTTGGGTTGAGGAATAACGGGGATTTATGGGGGAAGGTGTTTTTTCTTGGGTTTAGGCTTGGGATTTTGGGGATATGGTTTTACGGGGGGTTTTGGGCTTGGGGTTTTTGGCTTGGGATTTTGGGCTGAGGAATAACGGGGATTTGGGAACATGGTTTTACGGATTGATATTTGGCTTATGGGTATAACGGGGTTTTGGGAATATGGTTTCGGGATTTTTTGGCTTGGGATTTAGCATATGGGTATAACGGGGTTTTGGGGATATGGGTTTCGGGATTTTTTGGGCTAAGATTTGGGCGCCGAGTTGGCCAAATGGTTCCATAAATTTTTGGGGCAAGGTGTCGGCTTACTGGGTGGGGGGGGGGGCCTTGTTGTTGTGTTTAGGGTTTAGGGTTTAGAGTTTAGGGTTTAGGGTTTAGGGTTTAGGGTTTAGGGTTTCTATTTTGGTTTGTTTTGTTGGTTGCTTCCCTTTAAAGAAGCTTCGCGACGGTTCTGCTAGCCCAGCCGGGGCTTCGGCTACAGTGACCTACAGGACTTCGCCGATCTCGGCTACGTTTCCAGTTGGAGGCTACACCTCGTAAGGGACCTCAGGGTCATCAAACCTTGAATCGATTAGTTGAGAAGGCGGCTCAAGCGCATTCACGTGCCTTTTATGTCCGCGCCCTGCAAAGTTCATGAGGCAGACACACCGTAGCAGACCCACCCGAAGCATTCCTTAGGCACCGACCCGAAACCGCGCTTAAACCCTGCTTACGTCCAGGAATCTCACCCATCCCGGTTCGTCAGTTTCTGTCCCCCTTTTTGTTTGTAGAATCCTGCACCTCGAATCCCGGAAGCCCCCCCAACTTCTTTGCCCTTCTCCCGACGTATCTCCCGCTGTGGGGCCGCCCCGGGTGAAGCAGCGCCTGAAGCAGCGCCTGAAGCTCAAGGGAGGGGCATGGTTTTGGGTTTCGGGGCGTTGGACTTTAGAAATTTCAAGTTCTCTGGGGGGGGTCTTCCGCATCGGCTTGTGAGAAGACGTGGGTGCAGATTGGAGCAAGAAGGACTCAAATCCCCCCAAACCTTAAACCCTAAATCTTGAACAAGGAGCTTATAAACCCTAAACCCTAAACCCCAAACCCTAAACCCATTAAACCCCTCAAGCCCCTCACGAGCTCCAGCCTGGAGCCATAGGCAACGGCACTCCGCTCTTGCAGCCGGAGCTCCTGGGCTGCAGGCCAGAGCTCCTAATTTGGGGGGATGTTTCCCCCTTATGGGATTTAGGGTTTAGGGTTTAGGGTTTAGGGTTACTTATACTAACAGCTCCTTAGTCGGGATTATCGTAGGAGCATCCCAACTCATCATGCGCAAGACGGGGTGCTATGGGGCTGTTCTGAATCGAATCCCGTTTAAAGAACATGGTTGAAGAATGGGATCTTTGAACATTGCCACCAGGGCTCCTCGAAGTTCTGGGGCTTGCAGGGTATTAGAGCCAGAACGGACAAGCTTCATAAAGCGCTTATTAGGCTTCAGTAGGTTTAAAGTCGGGTGTCAGTGACTTAGTCGGCCAGGCAGCAAGCACCTCCAGCATGACTACGGATCGCGCCTTCAACGCCGCTGGACTCAGCATGTTGGGGTTTGGGGTCCCGCGGTCACGGTCAAAGCCCCTTCAAGACACCCCAAACAGAAAATTGAGGGTTTACGAAAATAAGGGGCGCCCAATATTTTTCCCCCCAGATAGTAAGATTCCCTAATAAGGACCCCATGAAGGTACCCCCCTAATGTCGGAACCCCCCCCCCCCAAATTTGGGCATCCCCCCAAAACGCCGTTCTTCTTGCCCACGGAGGCCCTTGGGACATTATATATCTTCCCTTATTGGGTTTAAGAGGATCACATTCAGGAATATAAAGCCTAAACCCTAAACCCTAAACCCTAAACCCTAAACCCTAAAAACCTATCAGGGGGTTTTAAGGCCACACGTCGGCCCTGCTTGAGGCTGGCAGCGCGGGCTGGAGCTCCTGTGCTCCTCCTGGGAGAGGCAGACGACAACTTGGGTTTGGGGTTTGGGGTTTAGGGTTTAGGGTTTAGGGTTGAGGGTTGAGGGTTGAGGGTTTAGGGTTTAGGGTTTAGGGTTCCAGGTCCTAAGCAGAGACTCAACACCCCGGTGTTCCTGGGATTAATAATGCAGCCAGAAGGAAACAACCGCAGCCAGATCAGCCAGCCATCAACTGTGAGCCGTTACAAAGAATGCGACGCGTTACAATCACAGCCCGCGCCGCTCAGCGAAACATTGAAGTGTGTGTTGGCCGCTTGGATCAAGCAGCGGAGCCTCTCAGCAGTGGGATCAAACAGGATCTAAGATGGGAAGACTTGCAGCGGCATGTTCTAATCTTTGAATCGCAACCGTATTTCCTCTGCCTTTGAGCCAAATGTTCGCGGTTTGCTTTGTGTAGGTTACACCTGAAGCAGAGGTATCGAGCCATGTTGATATTGCTCGCAGCAAAGCTCCTGCTGCTGGCACCCATAGCGCATGCGGCTTGGGATAGTTTCACGCCGTGCATCAACTTCGACTTGGGAGATGCCCAGGTGGGATCGATTCGACCAAAGCAAGGGACCTAATCCACTTGCACTTGTCAGGTCAAGATTCCTGTCAAAACAGTTCCTTTGAACTGCGGGTTCACGCCCTTTGCTGAATTTTGAGTTTTGTTTTCCCATTCTTGGCAGCTTAACTTTTTTCTCCTCGTTCTTCGATTTCGGACTTTCCAGGTCACCCCATGGAACTGCGATGGTTGGAACCTCACTGATGCAGCCACGCCCGTCGAGCATGTGGTTCAGACGGTGATGGGTGCCCCGGCAGTCAGAAGAGAGCGCAACAATCCAGGGAGTGTTTGCAATCCCCTTTAGGTCATTTCTTTTTGTTGGAGCTGGACAGTTCCAGATTCTGGAACTCTCACGGTTTCCGTGAAAAACAGCTCATCAGAATTTGATTGCCATTTCTGCTTCATATTGCTGCCGTCCGTTCAGGCGCCCCTTCGGCGGTTTTGCTGTCTTTGGCTGGGGCGTCTTTAGACTTCAGCTTCGGAATCGTGCAGATTGTCTGGAACACTTGGATTGGTGCCTTTGTGGCTTCCGTCGAGTGGGTCATCCAGGACTTTTGGTCTGTTGCCATTACCTGTACCGGCATTGTTACATGGGCTCTTTGTTTTTGGTCTCTCGCCTGGTGTTATTCCGAAGCAGAGAATGGATGCCGCGAGCGACAGAGTAGATACCACTTGTATACGGAATGGTGGTGGATTGCCGGTCCTTTTTTGGGGGTGGTTTTCCTTGCCATTCTGGTTGCAATCTGGTTTCTGCTGCTAGCAGTCTCATTCGCGGTGGTGTTCTGCCTCGCAGTGGTCGTTGCAGTGATTGTGGTGCCGAACGCGATAGTTGTGGCACTTCTGATTCTCTTGGTGACCTTTTTGGTCATTGCTGGTCTTGTGCTGCTGGCTTTCACGGCTTGCTGGCTGATCTATTTGGCTGTCCTGCTCGCTCTGGCGCAGTTCGTCTTGGGTGCCGTGGATGGTTCTCTCAGGGCAAGCAAAGCGTCATCTGGCAGCTGCGGCAAGTGCACAGGGCAAGGAATCGTGTCCAAACGGGTGGTGCCTTGGCTTGTCATGGGCGAGTTATGTTTCATGTTTGTCCCACTCGACAGGATTGTCTTGCCTCTTATCTTTGAGATGCTTTGAAGATGCGCTTTTGAGCAGGGTTGGAACCATAGGGAGTATTGGTCAATATGACGCATCTTGTTTTGGGGCGCCCAGTTTGGGCCGCAGCACCGTACCATTGCCATCTTGTTCCCCTTCACTTCCGCCCGAAGGTACCCGGACTGATTTGCCTCGCTTCGGCTTTGGTGGCCAATGTTCTCCTGCTCTGGGACCTTGAGGTTTTGTTCGTTATGTGGAGCAGCTTTCGCGAACTCAGTGGGATTCAGCTTCCGATCACCCAAGAGAGCATGAAGAAGCTTCTCGAAGCCTCTGGTATCAACTTGACCATCTTCTTCGATGCCATTGCCTCAATCTACTCCAGCTTCTACCACTTGCAGCAGATAATCGAAGGCGTCACCAAGTTCGAGTGCTTTTACCTCCTTTCTATGATGTCAGCTTCGCAACTCCTCGCCGGCATGCTAGCGCTGAACTTCTTCCAGTCCACCGATATCAAGACGGCATTGGCCCACATGTTGTCCCACTGCTTCGACCAACCTGGGCATGCGCTGGCCACAAAGACCTTGCTTGTTGCCAGTGCGAAACTCATAGAGCTGATGATGGTTGCCGGGAGCCCCACATTCATCCGCATGTTTAGCTCACCCTTTGCCGGCTGCGAGGCGTACATTGACAACATTTCAGGCGTCTTCGGCACGGTCTGCTTGTGGTTCGTTGGCGTTCCCGCACTTTTGGTCGTCCCGGACCTCATGATGTCGAGCCTGTCAATCGAGAGCTGGTCGCGACCCCGTCAAGTTCTTGCAGAATCTCCGCTTGCATTGGTTGCCGTCCGCTCTGTGGTACCTTTAAGCGTTCAAACTGTGAGACCAACAACTTTGTTAACATGCTGACATGTCTTGACTCACATCATGATGTTGCTTGCAGCCCTAGCGAAATTAGGCCAATTGGGGAAGGGGGAATGGATGCCATCAAGTGCATTTCCAGCCAAGGAGCGTCCCAAACGAATGCCACCCGGTAGGATTTTGGAACCTTTTCCTTGGTAGGGAAGTGTGAAAAATGTGCCTGTGCCGCTTTCATCTGCTTTCCGCGCACTTCCACGACCGAGGGCGAGCGTGATGTCGATGCTCGTTGGGCGCTGGGGCGACTGGTCCTTGGAAGCCTGTGGATTGTTGAAGTTCAGAGCCAGCAGAGTCGAGAGGTCCACCGATCTCGGCGAGTCACAGGTGCAAGCATACATCAAGGCCGGGCAGACGAGCGGACAGGCTGTTTACATGTTCGGAAGCCACCCAAATCTTGAAGCTATGCCGATCCGTAGCGAGGCAGGTCTTCGCATTTGAGGCATTTTTTCCGAAAGCTCATTGGCCCTTTGTTGACTGTAGCTCTCCGCTGATAACAACCTGACACAAAAGGCCGAATTCATCCAGCAGCGGACGGGACAAACTTGAACTAAAAAGGCAATCTGCTTCGATGAATACGAATGCTGAGTCCGGCGAGATGTGTCCCTGTGTCAAAAGACCGCTTTCGTAGGATTAGGGGGGCCCTGAAAAAGGAACCCTTCTCAACCCTCTTTTTTGCTTTCTAAAAACAGGGACCTTATTGAGAGGGCCTATATTCTCTAGGGCCCCCCCAATCCTATCCCCCACCTTTAGGATCTGTTAGGAGCAGCCATCATCTTGCAGCGGAGCGCCTGAGGTGTCTTCGACCTTCATCTCCTCGGCTTTTCAGATTGTTCCCTGTGGAAAAGTCCTCTCGCAACTCATGGACGCCTCGAACGTGGGGCACGTGTGGATCGATTCGGATCAGGCGATCCCAGTGCAGAAGGCAGATGCATGGAGTTGGTTCACCAAGTCTCCCGGCATTCGACTGAGTTGCGGGATCCTGAGCCCTTCAAAATAGAGTTGTTGAAGAATCTTCTTCTATGAACAACATCTAGATAAACACGGTGCTACTCTCTATATGTATATATAAATATAAATATAAATAAATAAATATAAATATATATATATATATATATGTATTATATTTATTTATATATGTTTAAATCACCATTTTTGCATTGTTGACACCTCCACGCTTCGCGTGAAGCACGCATGTACGCGTGCACAAAGACACAGCAACTTATTTACATCCAACGCATATGACTTTACAAAGTTTTATGCATCTTTCTAGGTACTCTAGGCTCGACATCCTTCAATCAACAGAAGCCGACAGACATTGATTCTCTTGTCATTTCCGGCTTTGAGCCCAACCTAGGATCCTGGCATGGCTTCGATTTTGCCTTCTGCAGCCCATACCCTTTTTGCAAGAAGCTTCTGCTGGTCAGGTGACATTGCTGTGGGTTTGCATTGGACTCACGTTCGCGGAGGAGCTTTGCAGTTCGATGATCGCCGATCCGCAGCCTCCGACAGATGACTATGAGCACGAGACGTTCAGCAGCGCGATGGCAGGTGTGGTGAGCAGGGGTTTTCATGCTGGTTGCCGCCTACTACAAAACATTTTGTCTGCGTTGGCGACGATCTTGAACTCGGCACTGCAGCTGGCCTGGCAGGGAATTGGCATTGCGGTCTCAGCAGCATACAGCACGGCCCTGGCGGGCAGAAACGTTCTCTTTGCTGCAGTGGCTGTGGGTGCAGGTGTGATTGGGGCTGGCATGGGCGCTCTTGGTCCTGCTACTGGTGGTGCCATTGCAGATGTTGAACTGGTCATGGTTGATGATCCTGTGCCAACTGATCATCCAGTTGAGCCAGACGTGCCACGTCATACTGATGCCATGAAGGAAGATGCTGATGCCCCGCCTGATTCCTCGCCTGATGCCACAAGTACCATTTTTGCTTCATTCTCAGCTTTTTCCGCCATGATGACGAGTATGATGGGTGCCAGTGACGGTGATCCAGATGACTTCGACACAGGGTCTCCGAGTTCTCCGGAACCAGATCCAACAACGTACGGTACCCCACTCGATGATTCAGACCTCGTGAGCCTTTGAGTCATGTTTGAGCGGCAGATTTTTCCGCCGGAAGGGCTGCCATGCAGCCAAGCAGCCGTTTTAGGCCTCCTCTGTCGCTTAGACCGCTGAGGGTGCCCAGGGATACTTAGGTAGTTCTGAAAAAAAAATATATATATATATATAGTGCCCCCCCCCCCCCCCCCCCCTGTACCTTTTTTCGTTTTGGTTGAGCCGCCTATCCCCCCCCCCCCCCCTCCCCCACTCTTTCAGTGCCTCCCCCACTCTTTCAGTGCCTCGTCTATAAGCACTGTCAATTCAACCTAAACATTTGAACTTTAAACTTTTAAGGTTTAAAAGCTTAGGGTTTAGACTTTAAGATTTAGGCATTTAAACCTAAGCCCATAGAGTTTAAACTTTTAAGGGGCCTAAGCACTTAACCCTTAAGCCCTATAGGCTATAGCGGCTATAGGGTTAAGCTTTAAAGTTTCGGTTTAAAAGTAAGCCCACAGTTAAACCTTAAGGGCCTAAACGCTTGACCTTTAAACCCTATAGGCTACAGGGTTAAGGTTTAAAGGCTTAGGCCTAAGCATTTAGGCATTAAACCTAAGCCCATAGAGTTGAAGTCTTAAGGGGCCTAAACACTTTAAGATTTAGGCATTTAAACCTAAGCCCATAGAGTTTAAACCTTAAGGGCTTAAGGTTTAGGCAGTTAAACCTCAAAGCCTTTTGGCCAGAAAGAACCCCAAAACCCTAAAGGGCTCTAAAAGGTTCAAAGGCTTTAACCTTATAAGCGATGAAGGTAATGAAGGTATAAATGCCCAGACTTGAGGTCGAGGTTTAAACGCATAAAGTTTGGGAATTCAAGCCTCAGGTTTGGGCATTTAAACCTTCAAACCCTCAGGGTTTAAGAGATAAACCCTGAAAAGCCCTAAGCCTTTAGACCCTATAGGGCTTAAAGGTTTTAAAAACCTAGTGTTTGGGCATTTGGACCTTCAGCGCCTACAGGGTTGCAACCTTTTTTCTTCCTTGGTTTTCGGAGCATGGGTTCAGAAGAACATTGGTTTTACCGGTGATTTTTGAAGGTGGGCTTCGAAAAACATCGGTAAAACCAATGTTTTTCGAAGGCAGGCTTTCAGAAACATCGGTAAAACCGATGCTTTGTGAACCCATGATCCCGAAACATCGCATAGACCAATAAAAACCATAAAACCATGATTTTCGAAACTAGTGGCTGAAGTAACCCAATAAAAGAAGTTTGGAAAATATGTTTCAGGCTTTCAGAAGCATCGGTTCAACCGATGTTTTGTGAACCCATCATCCCGAAACATCGCACAAACCAATAAAAACCATAAAAACCATGATTTTCGAAACTTGTGGCTGGGCATGGATTTTCATAGTTTTTATTGTTTTTTTTGCGATGTTTTCGGAACATGGGAACAGAAAACATCGGTTTTACCGAAAGGGTGGGCTTCGAAAAAACATCGGTAAAACCAATGTTTTTCGAAGGAAAACCTGCAGAAACATCGGTAAACCGTGTTTCTACAAGGAAACCTTCAGGTCGAGGCCGGTACCTGCAGCAAAGTCTAAAAGAGAGGCAGGTCCATGGGGGGGGGGGGGTAGCATATGTATATATATGTATATATATATATATGTATATATATATGTATATGTACATACTCATATACATATACATATACATATACATATACATATACATATACATATACATATACATATACATATACATATACATATACATATACATATGACTTGGACTTGATGAAGAACAGTTGCCCTGAACACAGCGAATTCCTGTCTCATGTTTCGGGTGTTGATCCTGGTACCTGGGTTCTTGACCCTTCCCGCTCTCACATGTTGCGATGGAACGACGCAGTCGTTGCCGTCTCTCAGTGGCTTTTTTAGCCTTTGGACCTCCTCGGAGGGCATGTTGCCCACCACTGGGCTTCGGTTTCGGGTTTAGGGTTTCGGGTTTAGGGTTCAGGGTTTAGGGTTTAGTGGGCCCTGGAGGCCGGTGAGAAGGCCCGATGGAAGGGCCGAAGCAAGGCAGGAGCTCAAGTTGAGCTCCGTTGGGACCCCGCAGTGGGTTGTGACCAGGCAGAAAAAATTTTCAGCCCAAATGCACAATGTTCGAACACGAACTTTAGTACCGAACAGTGTAAGCAGTCGTCATTTGTGCAACTATTCTGATCTCAGTATACCAGGCAAACATTACATAGGTGATGCCAACACTTCTCAACTGCTTCGTTTAACATCTTCATGTCTTCAAAGTACAGCACCTGGGAAAGAGCCAAGACCTGCTGTAGGCTGCCGCGTTTCTCCAGGTGCTGCGACTCACAAACCCGCCCAAACGGCCAAGTAGCTTGCATCCATCATGGACCCTAAAGTTCGATTGAGGGCACGTTTGCGGCTTGTATTTGGCGCCAGACACTCACACACTCAGCCACTCAACCACTCAGACACGCTTTCACTCGCCAGAGACTCAGACGCTCAGACACTCAGACGCTCAGACACTCAGACGCTCAGACACTCCGAAATTCATGAAGGGCTAGGTGGGTGGATTCCACCTCACCACATGGACACCAAGCAGAATCTTGGCAACCTTTGGCTTCATAAGGCTCGCGACTGCCTCTACAAGCAAATGGTCTGGGCAGCAGCCGAGTTCTTTGCTGGCACTACGTGTTGTTTTGCCACCTCCTGCTCTCTCCACCCATTCTGCATTTGGCGCCTCCTGTTGCGGCGGTTGTGCCACGTGCGTACTGAGCTGTTCTCCATCCCTAGTCCTGGACCATCAGAACCACATGCATGTTACCTTCAAATCTTTCCAAAGCGCTGCAATGCGTTTGTTTCAGTTGGAAACAAACACAACATCTTGACGATGCAACAGTTTTTGAAGATTGGTTGGAAACACAACACAACATTGCTGAATCAATCCCAACCTTGTACAACTTATGTAAAGAGTCATCATTATTCTCAAAATTGTAGCCACTCCCTCTTTGACGCATATTTGGATTGCGAGCCAGGGGCGGCTCAGACAAGCTTCGTTTTTGAAGCGCGAAGCTCGCGAAGCTCCCGAGCTTCAGACTTCAAGCTTCAGGCGAAGCGCGAAGCTCGCGAAGCTTCAGACGTCAGGCTTCAGGCGAAGCTCGCGAAGCTCGCGAAGCTCGCGAAGCTCGCGAAGCTCGCGAAGCTCCCGAGCTTCAGACTTCAAGCTTCAGGCGAAGCGCGAAGCTCGCGAGCTTCAGACGTCAAGCTTCAGGCGAAGCGCGAACCCCGCGAAGCTCGCGAAGCTCCCGAGCTTCAGTTTTCAAGCTTCAGGCGAAGCGCGAAGCCCGCGAAGCTCGCGAAGCTTCAGACCTCAAGCTTCAAGCGAAGCTCGCGAAGCTCGCGAAGCTCGCGAAACTCGCGAAGCTCGCGACGCTCTCGAAGCTCGCGAAGCTCGCGAGCTTCAGACTTCAAGCTTCAGGCGAAGCTCGCGAAGCTCCCGAGCTTCAGACTTCAAGCTTCAGGCGAAGCGCGAAGCTCGCGAAGCTTCAGACTTCAGGCTTCACACGAAGCGCGACGCTCGAGAAGCTTCAGAGCTTCAGGGTTCAAGGAAGCTTCAAAATCTTCAAAAGCTTTAAAAGCTTCAAAAACGAAGCTCGCGAAGACAACAAGCTTCAGAGCTTCAAAAGCTTCACATTGAAATGCGAACCAAACAGAGCACTCCCGCCAACTTTGGGCAAATCCGCACACCCCACATTCGAAGACTCACTTCGTTTTTCTTTGGTCTGTTGAGAGTGTTTGCGCGTCACAAGCTGTTGGTCACCATATCTGCTTGGCAGCTGGTGACGTATAGAGCCCAACTCATATGGAGGTTAGTGTGAATAAAGGACACGTAGTCGGAGTTCGCATTCAAGTGCAGTGCCTACCGGAGACCCGGAACTCAGAGAACAGCCCCATATCGTCCCAAATCTCTCGCACCCACCTTCGGGCCAGGCGCCTTAACTGGGGCCTTGGCCACCTGCCCACATCCCTTGGCAGCTGCGCCCAGGCGGGCCGGTGGCGAGAGGCGAGCTGCTGTCAGTTTTGGCAGGGTTTCAGGGGTAGATGGCAAGGGCAGGCCGCTGCTCATGGTACTACCGTTATGCCACTACTATGGTGACAGCTGCGGCGGCGGACGACGACGACGACGACGACGGCTGCTACTCCTAGTACTACTGCTTCCACGACTTCGGCCAAGACGACGACTGATATTGCTACTAACCTACTACGACACGGACTACGGGACTACTCCAAAACCCGGAAAAGGATGCCGGCCAACCCTTACCCCAGGGATCACCGAAGGAAGTGCACAAACACTTACTGAAGCTTCCTCTTCGTTGTTATGCCATCATCATGAAATCGCTGGCTTGAGTGCAACAGAAGTCTTTTGTCGCGTCTTGGTCTAGCTGCTGTGACATTCTGAGAGTACTCAATATTGCTCGGAATCCAACCGCAGCCAGGCACCCATACATAATTGCACATGTCGAGCGGCGGCCCGCAGTAAACGCACGCAACCTGTGGCAAAGTTTTGCAGGCACTTGATGCACTGCGCTGGGCGGAAGAAAGAAGGCTCACACCAGATGCGGCCGCAGCCTCAGCATCAGCATTGTAGCGTGTCCAGAAGTCCTCAACAAGGTCCTCGGACTAAGCAGTGAGTACTATCAGAAAAGTCATCATCAGTCACGTCCAACATCCCGCAGCCATTTGGCAATTGTAGCTCAAGTACAGTGGAAGCGAATATTAACGCCGACACAGCCATGTCCTCGGATGCCCTGACAAGCGCAGGGACCTGTATGTTCGATGATGCCGTGATGGCTGCGAAGCTGCCTGCCGCAGTCGTGCAGCGCTTCAATGAGTGTTTGATCTCAGGCGACCCTACGACAGAGGATCGATGTCGCCTGTTTTTCAAGAGACTCTAAGACAATACCGTTGGCCACTTGAAGAGAGGGGAGGTAGCTGTTTTGCCGAAGTGATGAAGATAGTGTATGTATATATAACACATTGCAAAAGCTTGCAGGAGGACCAGAAGGTCATCGCGGACACGCTCTTCGACTGGGCACGCGAGCGAGGGGCGATTGACTTTGCCCACTGGTTCTTTCCTTTGCGTGGCAGCTTGGCATGATTTGGCATGCGCCGGTTTTCCTCGGGCCCCAACTCAAGTTGTCAGGGTCAGGGCCTCTCCCAAATCCCTGTTTTGAACAGAACTCCTGGGAGGTGGCGGGGGCGCTGTGGGCGGTATGTTGGGCGCCTTCAAGCGCGATACTTTGATGGACCTGGAGTTCGGCTCCAAGTTCGTCACAAAGCCGATGAAGGCGTGCCTGCCGCACGAGCGGCTCTTTCAGGGTGAGACCGATGGCTCCTCCTTCCCCAATGGCGGCCTGCGCGTGACACACTCTGCAGCAGCATTCACGACTTGGGACAGGTCATCCCCGCCCTTCGTCATGGACAGCTGCCTCTACATTCCATGTGCTTTCATAACCCACTTTGGGAAGTGTATTGATGAGAAGACACCACTGCTGCGCTCCATGGATGCTGTGAAAACTCACGGCCTTCGCTTGTTGAAGGCCATTGGCATTGGCAAGGATGTGCAGACTATCTACAGCTACTTGGGTTGGGAGCAGGAGTTCTTCGTTCTCAAAGCAGATCACTTCAAAGCCCGACCTGACTTGGTGAATTGCGGCCGCACGCTCTTTGGCAAGCTGCCCACGCGGCACCAGCAAGGAGACCTGAACTACTTTCAGGCAATTCCTGGCAAGGTACAAGAACTCCTTGATGTGGCGCAGGCTGAGATGCTGAAGATCGGTTGCCCCATGGCCGTAAAACACAACGAGGTTGCACCTGGACAGCACGAGATGTCGCCAGTCTTCCGTGCCGCGAACGTGTCCTGCGACAGCAATGTGTGTTTCATGGAGGTCATGAACCGGGAAGCCGCCAAGCTCGGTCTGCAGGTTCTCTTCCATGAGAAGCCCTTTGCTGGCATCAACGGTAGCGGAAAGCACGCAAACTGGTCCATCGGCACGGACACAAACTTAAACTTCTTCTATCCTGGTAAGAATGAGGATGGGGCCAAGCTCTACGTCACGGCCATCGCCTGTTTGGCGTACGGGCTGGCGCAGTACAACGAAGCTAGGCTCTTTTGCTGTGTACTCCGTTTTCCCTTTTTTTGTTGTGTTTGAATTTAGAGGCCGTCAGCACGGTGGAACGTCTAGAGTCTGGAACCCATTGGCCGCTGGCACAGACGCCACAAAGAAGAACCACAGGGGTGACCCCGAGACGGGAAGAAACATGCGATGAAACATTTCTGTAACTTATCATTTCAGGCACGAGCAACAAAACAGACATCACAGTGCCTGCCACCCAGCCTGCATCCGTGAGACTTCTTGCAAGGTAAGCTTGTCTTGCGGCACTGGACACTCGTTCATAAGCACCTGAGTTCATGCCCACCCCAACACAAAAAGCCAGACCCAGTCTCGAATTTTTTCAGCGAATTCAATCCCAGGAAATGGTGCGGTGCACTGTGGCCAGCGCTGGCAACGACCATCGCTTGGGTGCCCCTTCGAGTGTCCGTGTCTGTTCACGTTCAAGTGTAGAAAGTGTGCATATACATATATATATATATATATGTATACATCTATATACATATATATATATATACATGTTATATATATATATGTATAGAAATATTGACAACCTGCAAAAGTCGTAGTAGATTGGAGTGGAAGCTTCTCAGTGCATTTGGGAAGCATTCATGAAAGCAAAACACGGGACCTGAAAACCAGAACCACATTCGCCTGCCAGTGCAGAACGACGTAATTAGCTATCCTGCGGCGTGTCAAAGAAAAACGAATAAAGCACATCCAGCGATTGCTGCTTCCTACATGCCGCAACATGCCACCGTTTACTCATATGATATATCTTTTTAATGCTGTGGTATACACATATACGTATACATATAACATACATACATGCATGCATGCATACATACATACATACATGCATGCATCCATCCATGCATGCATGCATGCATGCATACATACATACATGCATATATATTTTTTGTGTGTATGTATGTAGTAGAGCTTGCCAGGTGCCCAAGAGGCCCCCCCGGCCATCATCTCGCTGTACCCGGGCCAGGGCTTCGATCAGTTTGTTGACTCCGTGGTCAATGGCGGAGACCTCTTAGGCTGCCTCTTTCAAAGAATGTTTTTTTGTAGTTTGTACAATTATATGTATAGAAACATATGTACGTATGTATGTATGTATATATATATATATACATATATATATATATATATATATATTAGGCTGCCTCTTTCAAAGAAGTCTTTTTATAGTATGGTTTCATATGCTACAGCACCTCGAGAGATGCCGGGCATGCTAAAAAAGATCACCTGCCACTGCCAAAAGGATACAAGGCCGAGAAGAAGAAGCAGGAGACGGGATGCAGCTCCGCGATGCACATCGAGGCAAACGTCGAGGATCGCAACCGAACAGCACCATTCCCCTTCTGCGGCAACCGCTTCGAGTTCCGCGCCGTGGGCTCTTCGCAGAACTGTTGCTTTCCGGTCATGGTCTGCAATGCCATCATGTCTGCTGGGATGTCACACATGGCTTCCCTCATCGAGGGTGGCATGAGCCATCGCGATGCCGTGGCGCAGGTGTTCAAGGAGAGATGCCTATGTTGAGCCATCCTATAAGCTTAGTATGCAAGTAGGGAGTAGGTACCATGCGTCCCCGATATAGCCCCTGTTTATGCCTTAGATAGTCCCTATATACCTAAGTAGACCCAACAACCCGTAAATAACCGCTAAGGTCCCTTGTAAGCCCTCCTTTCATCCCTTGATTCCACACCCTAGGCCCTAAACCCGAACTAGGTTCCTTCCTCTTACAAAAAAAATGAATAGACAAATGGAATACATATGTATATATACGTAGGAGAACAAGCATGTCATCTTCACGGGCAACGGCTACTCCGCCGAGTGGCCCGTGGAGGCGGGCAAGCGAGGCCTCCCGAACTTGAACACCACGCCCAAGGCCGTGGCGACCTGGAGCCTTGGGGAGGTTTAGGGTTTAGGGTTTAGGGTTTAGGGTTTAGGGTTTAGGGTTTAGGGTTTAGGGTTTCGGGCCTTTGTCTAGGTGATTTCGGGATGTTCGGGGTGCAGTTCTTCTGGGTTTAGACTTGTGGGGCTTTGGAGCATGTGCCTTGCACTCAACACCACAGTTGCCTCCGAAGCAGCTGAGCCCTCACTGCCTTGAACTCGGAGCCGAGGAATTCGGAAAAGAACCGCAAGCTCTTTGAAACGCTGAAAATCTTTACGGCCGAGGAGCAGCAGCTACTGTACCAACCAGACGTGTCCTTGGACCCCTCAAGTTACAGTAGACAGCAAGGTTCGCCCAAGTTTCACCCCAAATCATAGTCACCAAGGGCTGTTTTTGCATTCGACTTACATTGCCAGCAGCCTTCGAAAAGACTGTGCTTCGGCAGCGCTCTGCAGCTCGCAGGAGACGGAGGCACGCCAGGAGGTGATGTACGAGAACTACATCTCTTGCCTCTGCCGCTGAGCTGAAGAGCCTTCTTCTGGTTCATGCCAACGTGTAGAACTTCAATGTCGTGGCAGGGGTAATGATTTTCTTCCTATGATTTTCTTCCTGTAGTTGGGCAGCGCAATGAGGTTGCGAGGTGGAAACGATGGTGCAGATGACCGAGACGGGCTTTCTGCCAGCATGTGCCAAGGACTGTCCGGCCGAGAGTCTGCCTTGGATCACCTCTCTTTCAGCCCTGGCCACCCAGGGTACGATTCCCGCAAGGCCCCAAACCCCAAGCCCCAAACCCCAAACCCCGAACCCTGAACCCTAAACCCTAAACCCTAAGCCCTTCAGGACCTGGAAAAGTACAAGGGCGTGGAGAAGCTGACTGGAAGCAGGAAAACCATCTACGACAACGTCGTGGACCAGCTCGAGAAACTCAAGGCACATCTCTCCTTTTCCTTTAATAGGTTGGCCAAGGATGCATATGGACATCTGTGTGGATACATAAACCTTCTATTTCTATCTACTGTATACGCATACAGCCGTATATGCACACAGTCATCTACCATATGCATGTATGCACGTAATCTCTATCCCTCTCTCTCTCTCTCTGACTCTCTGAGGGCCACAGCCAAAAGCCAGTTTCGGGTTACGACTGCTGCCGCTATTCACGTCGTACTGGTAGCTGCCCTACCTACTGCCATGACGGGCACGAAAGTATCTCAGATTCCCAGCCGCCACCCCCTATCATTGAGATGAGAAGCCAAGCGTGTGAATTGGGGTCCACATTCAACACAGACCCCCCCTCCCCCTCGACGCCGCCGAGGCTGTGTACCAGGCCAAGCCCCACACGTCCCTCGCGGAAGAGGCCACCTACCTCTGCGACACCGTCAAGCAAGGGCCCCAGACAGGCTTGTTTAGGTGGGTGTTCAGCGGCAACTCAACATCCCTGAGCTCCACACGTACCTCGAGTGTCTTTATCTTTGAATCATTAAAGTTGCGGGGCTAGAAATGACAGTCGCGCACGTAGACTCGCCCTATAGGACGCAGATGGCAGCTCTGCGCGCCGCGGCATCTCGACTGCCATTCCAAAGCTTTGTGGGTCCTGACATGGACGCGAGTGAAACTTAGCTACCTCACCCTTAACCCTAACAACACCCTATCAGGCACTATCAGGCACTAAAACCCCAAGCCCGTCGAGACAGCCGATCAGGTGGACAAGGCGGAGTCCGTAATGGAAAATAGCCTGTGTCTTGGCCGAACCTTCAGTCCCCTTCCGTATGATCGCTTCTGCGCAGGCTCTGTACTTTCAATGTTGGCCCATGGCATGCCCTATGCACACTGTGGCCCGGCCGTGGTGAGGTACCCGTTCCCGACGTATGAGCCTGGTGCTTAGTTTCCACAATCGCAGCTTTGTGGGTGTTCGGGTTGTCGTGGGCATGCCGAGGCAGATGATCTACTCCCACCATTTCTGAGCCGAGAGCTGGACCTGAATCGGACGACTCTGGTGCTAAGCACCACAGTACGCTGAAGGCATTGGACAAGATCCTCGAATATCCTCGAGCTTGTCAGTGGAGCTGACACTCGCGCTGCTGAAGCGCCACTGATTAAGCAGGGCGTGCGGTGCAGCTGAAAGCGCGGACTCTCAGCGGTGAGTTGAGCCTAGGTCCGGCATCAGATCGTGCAACTTCGCATGTAAACGCAGAAAGACGGTAGGACCGTGACCTACTGCAGAGTCCCAAGGCTGCGCTCTCCAGTGGTGTGCACGCCAGTCCTGTAGTTTTCCCACACACTGGACTGCGTATGCACACTCAAACCTGCTACTAATCGACAGGCTGTTCAGAATCATGGCAGTCTGCTCGCGGGATCCGAGAAGTTTTGAGAAAAGGTCAAGATGCGAACTCACGATGCCATCCCCCAGCTGCGCGCGCACGTGGGTGGAATGCGTTCTTGCCATCATTCGGCTTTGCGACATCTTGGGCACTACCACTGCCTTAGAGGAGTGTGTTGCCGAGGTGTGCTACAATGTTGTCATCTCTGCAGCTGGGCGCAACGTGCGCTGGCCCGCAGCGCTGGAAGTCCTGTCAAGCTTGGCTCGCTCTACCAGTGAACCCACTGCCGCCGGGCATCATGAGATTACAGCGGGGGCTTTTAAGGTGGAGGTTGGAAGCCTGCTGGGCGTGACTTTCGTAAGACCTTGCATGTAGGCCCATATCCCCGAGCAGAGTGGGTGGTGTTGGAGTCATTGGCTTGTGCTTCCACAACGCCCCTAGCATCCGCTAGCGGGCGTTCGCCTGAACCTAAGTAAGTCCCAACGACCCCTTGGGCTCCCACGGCCAGAGAGAGCAGAAACCCTAACGAAAGTTACTGGTGACGATTCAGATCCGGAGTCTGACGAAGCGTGTTTGGGTGGATTATGCCATACACAAGTAGTTCCAATGCAATGTGCTGTGTCGAAGCCGTCATTCAAGGTGTTTAGGGCAGCTCTAACCTTGCGTGCTGCTCTTACGTACTGCGAAGCGGACAATGCACCAGAAGGCTTTGCAAGGAAGCTAGTTACGTTTGATGGTCGCTCCGGACCCGGAGCAATCAAAACAGTAATTTGTGGGCGCTTTTACTCTCAGATCCTGCCCTCAGGTGAGCAGTTACAACGCCATCTGCTCTGCATTGGCCGCGGCCTTGCGCTGGGAACAGGCCCTACACGCACTTGCCGGGGTGAGGCCGGTGACCCGATCCCTGCACCAGTCCCAAACCCTGGGGCTGGGGATAGTGATACTGGAAGGTTCATGGGTCGTTATAAGTAGGGTTATAGGTGCCCTAAATAAGGTTATGTCCAGTTGCACCCCACTTATAACCCCACTGATCACTACCCATGAACCTCTAACTAGGCCCACCGACGTTCGATCCCTGGCTGCAGGCACCTGGGCCCGAGGGCAGAGGTTGCGGGCTACGGCGCAGTCCTCAAGGCCGTCAAGCGTTGCCAAGAGTTGCCGAGGGTTCTCCAAAGTTCTCAGCGTGATGTCTCGGGCCTGAAGCTGCGGGCCCATCTCAGAATCGCTCCTTCGGGCCAGGCTTGCTCCGTGACGAGAAGGTGGCATCAGTCCCTTCAAGTTTTGGCGGCCATGCGCAGCAAGAGGGTGGGGGTGGACCAGCAGGACGGGCCGGCGTTGGAGAGGTGATGATGCAAGTGCTTCGTGCGAAACATGCAAGTGCTGCTGGAAGGCCCTTCGGGACCTACAAGCCGCCGTGGAGGTGTTGCACGCACCATGGCCGGCAGCCGCAGTTCTGACTGCCGAAGCAGCTCAGAGGCTTGTGGTGAGATCTTCATACGAGGCAGTCGAGGCAGTCTACAGGAGAGAAACTTCTGCTGAATGTCTGGGCTTCGATAAATCGAGGATCATCATTTTCAGCAATCGCTGTTTGACCCAAGCCGTCCAGGCGCTGCATTTCCTCCTCTTACGCCTCCATGCTGTCAGCTATGGAGCGCACGCTGGAGGGCCAAGGCCCGTGAATGCCGCATGCTGCATTATACTACGTATATCTACGTATATTATATTATATTTTACTATATATTTTTATTATATTATACTATATTGTGCTATATTATATTATATTATACTATATTATACTATATTGTACTATATTGTACTATATTATACTATACTATACTTGATTATATTATATTGTACAGTTCCCTCTTGAGCGCTGTTCGGCCCCAGATGGCTGTGCTGGCGGCGCCGACTTGGCCAGCCCTGAGCAGAGGGTGGTGGTGGAGACGTGCGCTTGGAAGATGCAGCGGGCTTTGAGCGTGGAAAAGTGTTAGAACCGATGGATGCCGATGCCCTCTCAGCTTTTGCAGGGGTCTCTCTTACACACATAGTGCGCATGTAACGTACGCATGGAGAGAGGGAGAGAGAGGGATAGGGGTGACTGTTTTCAGGTGCTGCTTGCTAGCGAAGGGTGCTGATCCTGAGCTGCGTTGTTTCAGAAGTGGAGGCCCCAACTCAGCGCGGGGCGGGTTGCCCGCCCCCCCTCCCCCCACGAAAGAGAGAAGACATGTGATGCACAGCATGTTTCTGAATGGAAGTAAGTTAGAAACACACGATCCTAAATCCTAAGCCCTAAATGGCAGGAGCAGGCTTGGTGCCAAGAGCCTGGCCGATGCTCTGAGGTTGCTGAAGGACCTTTGGCTCCACAGCCTGCACATCACTGAACACGACTGAACCCTAAATCCCCCTAAGCCAGGCCGAAACCCGCGCTTTGCGGTGGTGGGCTTGGGGGGTTCCCAGGGTTGAGAATCAAAGTTCCAGAATGCGGAAGTACAAATGACTGAGGTTCGTACTCGATTTCATCCGAATTTCATTTTGATCCCGGTGCATGTGGCTGCGATGAGTCGAGGGGTCCAGTAATACCTTTTGTATCTGAGGCCCGGGTGCCCCACCTTGTCATACACCAACCATTGCATGCGCCACCTCACACCCAACCCCTACACTCCTAGACCGCCAACCTCAAGACGCCCTAGACCCCCTTAGACCCCTAGACTCCTAGACCCCCTAGACCCCAAACCCTTTCTGGAAGAGGAGCCAGTGCAGCTCCTTCAGGCGGAGTCTGGCCCCAGGTGGGAGAGGGGATGCCAGTAGGAATCTCATGTTCCTCTGCAGCGCCCCTTCCTTAGGCAGCTATACACTGCCTTGGACCGTAGTTGTGGTAGTCGTTGAACAGACAGCCTTTGCTGCTCCCCAAACCCTTGCGAGCCTCGAATTCCCAGCGTTGCTGGTTCTCTAGCCTCAAAACACCGCAACGCCTGCCACACCTACTCCCACCTGCAAAGACCAATGACTTCGGCACATGTTGTAGCTACTCGCAAGCTACAATGAGAGAACATGGGCTGCTTCAGGTTACTGCGCTCGACGCTGGACAAGGAAACGCCTGTCGAGGCAGGGTTGTGTCCTTGAGCGTTTGTACACTTGTTACACGTCGCTTGTTCATAGTGATCGCAGAGCATAGAGCAGAGCCAATGCAGGCGTTCGTCACCGGCGTTGAATCTTATCGGCGGGACCGCACGCGAAGAATCGAGGACAGCGAGTTCTGTCGAGCTCTTTGCTGCCACAGTATCCTGAAGTATCTGACTTCTGACCTCTTGCAGCTCCACGGAATCGCACGTGCTGTTCACCTTCATGGCAGGCGGGTGATGAGTCTGCCAAGCTGAGCTTCCCAAAACCGCAGGCAAAGCAGGCCGGCTGTGACTCTGCGCGCACATCGTCGTCACGCACTGAATGTATAGTGGCATGGGCGCCACACCTGCCGCTGCAGGCCGCTGCACCGGCCAAGGCAAAGCAGCCGCAATCACCAGGCCCGCCTCCCAAGGCCCCGGCGAAGGCCCGGGAGTCACCTCAGTGAGTCAAGCTGAGACTACGTGCACTTCGTTGTGCTTGGCACTACTCAGGGACTGGGTAGGTTTAGCCGCGTTAGCCTTTTTGGCCATATAGAATCCGAGTGCACATAAAAAGGCTGACCTTTTTTGGGCCAGGGTACTCAGCCCGTAAGACTACGACACATCGCCCTTCGTAGGCTGGTTGTTGTTACTGGCAGGCTCCCGCCAAGGTGCCGGCATCGCCCAAGGCAAGGGGAACGGGACCGTCTGAAGAGGAACGGGAGGGGGGTGAGAAGAATTTTCGAAGAGGTTCGCGGACGCCTAACTGTGGATTCCGGGACACCGCCGCCCTGTTCTTAGGCGTTTCCTAGCCGAGAGGGGGCGCGGGCAGGTGCTAACAGCTAACGTCTCTATCGCTTCAGGGCTTGGATTGAAGTCTCGCATCGTCGCTAACTACGCGGTTTCCTAGTCTGACGTGAGATGCGTTGCTGGGCCCTCGAACAACGCATTTTGAGAAACCTTCACGAAGGTGCATCTTCGGGCACACAGCACAGGGATCCATAGGTGCGTTTCCCAGACCTCTTAAGCGCACAATAGCCGAATTCTTAGAAGGCAATTTGTGCGTTACTCTTTAGAGGCCCTGGCTACTGTACTGGCTATCCAAGGACCATCAACAGCAACACATCCTCTCACAAAGTCAGCGCCTGCTGATTTTCTTAGTCGCCCCAGGCTGTGGCAGTGGCGAAGCACAAGCCGAAGGAGCCTTCCACTCCCCCGCCGTCGATGTCTACGAGAGTGGTGAAGCTCTCGAAGGCTGGCACAAGTAGACACACCCACCCTCATCCCACATTCGCCATCTTTCAACTTCGACGGCCGCCCTGATGTTTTGCAAGTGCTGTTCACTGTTCTTGCAATGTTTGGAAAGATGCCCCTTATCAGTTTCGACTCTGGCTTCCTTAAGCGGACCACAATTGTGGCATGAGGGTAGTAGATCACTGCTATCTGCATGGCTGCGAGCGCTCGAGCCAGTGTTCTTCAGTGGTAGGTGCCTTGGACCGGGATCTTGCGGTTTAGAGCTTCAGGGCTTCCGGGATCAAGAGCGCAAACCCTAAACCCTAAACCTTAAACCCTAAACCCTAAACCCTAAACCCTAAACCCTAAACCCTAAACCTTCGTTCAAGAGGCTCCAGCCAAGGCGGGCACCGTCACGGTGAGTGTGGCCAAGGTGGGGAACTTATTTTTGGGGGTCGGAAGAATTACTAATGGCATTCCCTGATGGTCCCTGAATAATGTACTACCCTCCAAAACCTTATTTATTAAGGCCCCTATATTGCCGGACCTATCCCAGAATCCCAGACCCTGAAGCCCATGAATCAGCTGTCCTGTGTTCCATTGTCGACCGCTGACGCTGGAGCGTGCTGTAGCACGCTGCGTTTCTTCCATACTATTCCATACTCTCGCCCGACAAAGCAGACATGTGATGTAGAGTATGCAGTATGCAAGTGGAAGAAAAGTTTCGGTATAAATCGAGACTTTCTGGATGTTTGTACGTAACTGCTGGCCAGTGGTACAATGGCAGTGGTGCCTTGACACCCTAAACCCTAAACCCTAAACCCTAAACCCTAAACCCTCAACCCTAAACCCTAAACCCTAAACCCTAAAAAGCCTCAACCCTGAACCCCACGAGGTGCCGCAAAAACGGCCCATGCCGATGGAGTCGCTTCCTCCTTCCAAGAGGCGCCTCGGAGCTTGTTCCTGCTCGGTGCATATTTTGAACACCCGAAGCCGGATTTGTTAATATTCTCAAATTTCTTAATATTATCATTATTATGACTATTAGGATTTTTTGATTGTTTTAAACAAAAACTTGTTAATATGGTTACTATCATTAATATTACTTGTATTTATTTTTTCCAGATTAGTAACGATAATACGACTAGTGTGATTAATATCACTACTATAATGAAGATTTTTAATATTAAAGATACCACGAATATATTGGTATTATTAGAAATATGAGTATTATTAATATTATGTATGTTGTTGTTATTTGTCGTATTATAAATATTCTTCATAGCATGAATATCATTTTTCATATTATGAATATTATTCGCATTGCTAGTATTGTTTATATTGTTCATATTGTCCTTACTATTCATAATGATCATATCATTTTTCATATTATTCAGATTATCAATACGATCCATATTATCAATATGATCAAGATGGTCAACATGATCAATCTTATTAATAACCATTTTGTTGGTATATATAAATATTAGGAACATTAGGATAGTATCATCATTCATATTCATTCATCTCAGCCTATCATCATTCATATCATTCATATCATTCATACATCATTTAATTCATATCATTCATATCATTCATATCATTCATATCATTCATATCATTCATATCATTCATATCATTCATATCATTCATATCATTCATATCATTCATATCACTCAATATTATTCAATATTTTTCAAAAACTATTCTTATTATCCATATGATTCATATAGTTCATATAGTTCATATTGTTCATATTGTTCATATGGTTCATATTGTTCATATTGTCCATATTGTTCATATTGTTCATATTGTTCATATTGTTCATATTGTTCATAGTATATACAATTGAGATTCTGGAGCGTGTTAATATCATTCTTATTATTGTTTTTACTTGTATTTTCTATATTGTAAATATTATCAAATTAACACTATTATAAACATGATTCAGTTTATTAATATGATGAAAAAACTCAAATAATGAATATTGTTAATATTCTCAGCAGTCATATGTGACCCTAGACCCCGAATACGAATCGTAAAAAAGACTTTTTAATTTGGTCCTTATTCTCCCATCCTGGCTGTTACCCTCACGACTCAACAGATTAACCCCTAGAGACAGAGGTAAGTTCACGCACGCTCTGTTCGCCCCTCACTTACAAATTTAATATGATTATTGGCACGCGTAAACTTGCCCAATAATACTTCTAAAAGTGAGTGAATGCAATGAACACGCGAACCAGGATTCATGAACTGAACCCAAGTTCTGACGCTGCGGCGGTTGAATTGAGTTGGAACACTAGCAGTCGTCGCAACTCGTATGGTTGCTCTTTGCATTCGCTGACCTGTGGCCAGACTGCGTCCGATCGGTGCATCAAGCGAAGCTCTGGCACGTTTTCCGACTTTGTGCAGTGCCGCGGGACGTTGTTTGCTGGATGTTATTGGTCTACATGGGGGTTCATCCAGATGAGTGACGCCTTTCCACAACCTGACAAACTGCAATCTCTGCTGTATTGCATCTTGCTACTACTCCGGCATGCAGCATCAAAGCGCACCTCAGAAGAGCCTGGATCCCGAACTCTACAATACCCACAGCCTTTGGGCGTCTTGGGGTTGAGCAAGGTGCGGCCACCGGCTGCAAAGGTTCGCCTGCTCAGGATCGTAGGCCATGATCAAAGGCTTCCTTGCGTGAGGGTGATTGACAAGAGTCATGTGAAGCTGTTCCAATCTATCGACTATATTATGTATATATATATATATGTATGTATACATACATCTTCCTCTCTCTCCCTCGCTATATGTATGTCTTTCTGACAACCTCGCAGTCATGGTGAGCATGGTCATGCAAAGCTGGGCGACGAACCCAAGAGCCGTTGAAAGAATGCATAGATATAAGGCAGCTCTCCTGGATGATAGCAATGCTGCCTACTCCCCACATGGCGACCAACCGGCTTACACAGACTCCATCAGATATCATGTACGATTATTGACGCATTGCAGCAGAGGTACGCGTTATCTTCGGTCGCTGTTTTTCTCGCCGTCCTGGCTCAAGCTGCACCTTACGGTCAGATAACGGTAGATCTGTGGAATCTTACCCCCAGCAATGTGGTTTGTTTGCAAGTTTTTTTACTCCAATCCAACCCATGCCAGCTGTACCCAACTATACCCACTACCTTTATCACTATTTTAGCCCAGCCCAACCAGAACCTCGACCGTACCCCACCTTCACACCATAGCTTAAACCAGACTTTCAGTAGGCAACGGTTCTTTGGTTTCACCCAAGCTCACTTGGAATTGGGCGTACCCAGGAGAATGCTGCTCTGTCGATGTTCGGTGGGTGTCGCCTTTGGCGCATGTACTCTTCTATATAGAGCATGTGCAAAGCTGTGAACATGCAAAATCGCAGCACGTGAGATTGTGGAAGGATCAGGCAGCTATGCAAGACATGGAGTCCATCGGAGCTGAGTCAGAAGGCCTTTCGGCTTTATGATGCATAGCGGTACGGACGCTTCTTCGAGCTGCAAAGCGGTGAGCTCTAGAATCATCTTTTTTGCACCACCCTAAACCCTAAACCCTAAACTACTCCCTAAACCCTAAACCCTAAACCCTAATAATGAACACCCTCGCAGTCCTCATCGACCTTGAGCGCCAGGCGACTGCCGCCAGATCTTCGACGTTTGGTCCTGGAACTTCGACGCCGAGTTCGGCCAGCTGCTGGCCGCTCTCGCGTCGCCGGGGGCTGTGCTTGGTTAGGGTTCAGCGTTCAGGGTTCAGGGTTCAGGGTTCAGGGTTTAGGGTTTAGGGTTTAGGGTTTAGGGTTTAGGGTTTAGGGTTTAGGGTGGGGGCATTTCGGGTTAAGGGTTCAGGGCTTTTGCATTTTCTTCGCGCCGGTGCTGCCAGTGTAGTTCTGTTCTCCGCCAGCGTTTCAGGTGCAGCTCAAACCGTTTTGCACTCAAACCCGAAGCTCCGAAACCCCCGAAAAAGCCCCAAAACCCTTCCAAGTCTGCCATGCCCTGGAGTGACCCTAAACCCAACCCTAAACCCTAAACCCTAAACCCTCCTGATTCCTTTAAGGGCTGGCGATGGCGCGGTCTTAGCGCTAGATACCGCGCCTTGGCTGCAGCTTTTAGGGTCTTTAGGAGACTGGAGGTCCGTGGATTTAGGCTTTGCAGGGTCTAGGAGACGTGTTTCAGGGGTACCCTTCAAGGGCGGGACCATGTGACTACCTTAAGTCCCTAAGTGCTTAAGGTAATTAGGCTTTTTGGGTGCCATTCAGCTTCATGGAGATGCCAACTGCAACCTTGAAACGAGCGCTGCGATGGCTGCTCTCAGGAGTTTCCGGGCTTCTTGCGGGAGGAGAAGCAGACTGCGAAACGCTCCGCAAGGCAGCATGAGGGGGTTTAGGGTTTGGGGTTTATGTAAGTTGCATATTCCATCTGCAAGACGTGGTCAAGCCGCCAACCCCACACCCCTCAACTCGGTGTAGCTCGGGGCTGTGCTCGGCAGGTACGCAGCGCTGCGCCAGAACTGCGACAACCTCCGGCAAGCACCTGAGTGCACAGGAGTTTGCAATTCAGGAGTAGGGATGAAAACGAGGTTCGCTACTGTTAGCTCTTGCAGCTGGGACTGTGTGCAAGGCCGATTCAGCTTGGCATTTCCGTGGCGCATCCAGATGGAGCCCTTTGCGGGACTGCCATGCTAGTTTGCGCCCTTGGCGGTTGGCTGCCTATCCATTCATTGGAGTATGATATTGCTGACTTGGTATAAGAAGGACCTGGTGCTTCAACCTTTCCTTTGATGTGGTGGGCTGAGTCCTGTGGTTACAGCACAGCGCCACAGAGAATCGGTCTACTCGCGTTTGCCCACTGTGCACTGCAATGCGCTGCACCTTCCTGAGCTGTTTTGCGGGCCAAGGTTTACACAGATCTCTACACAGAGGCTGCATGGATAGGGGCCGACATACCCCCAACATTCTTCCCGATTCAGTATTTTAAAAAAACCCTCAAAGCGCTTGCCTAAGAGGCCTCTGTGGCCTTCCTCACAGCTGCGGGGCTGGATTTCCCCCGGCATGCCGCGGAGGGCATTGACCCGGCCGCGCGCTGATGCTAAATCGCCTGTGCTGTCATCTCAAAAACGAAGCTGATGACACTGACGATGGCTGATGATGGCGAGGCCAAGATCGGAAGAAAGCTGCGAGCCTCTCCGCTGGTAGGCGGCAGGGAGTTCGCAGCAGCAAGGTCTTTCAACGAAGCTGCCTCCGTGCTTTGTCACACTGTTGTGAGACATGCAGCCGCTACAGCCCTTGCAATCCAGTGCTGGTTGCAGCAAGTGCCGAGAGCGAGCTTGTGCAGGCCAGCAAGGCTGCACGCACCGATGGGTCACTTTCCAGGGATGGTATGACTTCGGGTGCTGAGCTGAGCATTCGCAAACTTGCAGTGTGGGGGTATGTACTGACAACCTGCACGGTATGAAGCAGGCATTCTGCCAAGCCAACGAACGCCCCTGTGCCACTAAACTCGATTTGACACTATCGCGAGGTACATGCTCCGACTGTTGACCCACCGTCGCCTGCCTTCAGACTTTGCTGCCTTTGAGGACCTTCAAGTTGCAAGTGTTCCATCACAGGGTTTCGGGTTGGGGCGTGATGTGTTTAGATTGAGGATCGACCGTAGTCAACGGGACATCCTCCTTGGTTGAGTGCTCCACCAGGCGAAGCCCTGCCCTAAATTTTGAAGCTCCAAACCTAGAACCCGAAGAGCAGGAGCTTCGTGCCAGCTTCTTTCCTGACCGCTATGAGTCGGCTCCACAGATTTACCGGCTGCGCCAGAGCAAAAATCAGAGGGAAGCACAGCCAAGAAAATCCTTGGGGGCCTGAACCTCTCGTATGCCTTTTCCATAGAAAGTTTTATTACCATTGTGTCATACGCGGAAGAAACGCGGACAAGAGGCAGTGCAAGCTGGGGTTGTAGTATTTCGAAAGGGAAGATGGGGTTGGGGTCAATAGGGCTAATAGCCTCAATAGGGTAAATAGGGTTAGCAGGGTTCATGGGGTTCATGGGGTGAATCGGGTTAGGGTTCATAGGGTACATAGGATTTAGGATTCTGTTTGGGGATCTTGCGTTGGAAGCTTCGTTGAGGCTTCGAGATGAGCTGCCGAGAGGGTCCCTCGACAGCCTTCTCCGTGACTTCGGCTGGGGCCTGAAGAAAGGAGTATAAAGGAGTTGTGCCAAAAGAGAAGAAACAGGATCTTAGACTTGCAAATCCGTTACATATTGGCTGCAAGATCGAATTCTCTCTCCTGCCTGGTACGACCTGCACTGCCAGTCTACTTGTTTACCTGTTCGGCATCAGTGCACTTTGCTGCAGTTGCAGACAATAGGTTGAGTGACAATAGGCCGAGTGACTTCCAGCCGCTTTCGAGGCGTGGAGCGCTATGGAACACCACACACAGCGGGCAGCGACGCTCTGGCGACACTGGAGCTTTTCTTTGAGGCCGTATATGGAGTCCAGCCTTAGCTGCGTTCCTATAAAGCAGCCTGCGCAGCCAAGCCGGACCCGTGAATCCTAGGCTGTGCTACATTGTCGTCTGTTCTTTTGAGTTTTTTTTCTACCGGTTCCTGTCCACGATGTTTCCAAGAGCGCAGCTTCAAGGCGCCTTATGAGCCGTATGAGCCGTATGAGCCGTATGAGCCCCAAATCGCAGGTCACTCGGGAGGGTCCGAAGCGCTTCCTCTCGGCGGCCTCTGGGGGAAGCTCGGAAGCCTCCACAGCGGCTTCGGCATCCTACATGCTGGAGCAAGGCACCTGTAGCCTATGTTCTCTCTTTGGAGCTAGTTTCGGGCGGGTTCTTAGTTTTGGCATCTACGGCTTTTTGGCATCTACGGCTCCGTGCTGGAGAACCGAAGCTCATAGCCTGGACTATCGACGCAGTCATGTCAGCGCATGAAGCTTGCATTCGGCAGCCCAGCCCGGCGCAGGCAGCGGTTACTTCCAGGAATCAGCAGGCAGGAACATACCAGAGACGGACATATGCGCACAGGGCATGCAGCCGCAGCATCGCGGGCCATGAGGCATACAGAGGCAACCTGAAAATGGCAAATATCGGATACCGCAGCTTTCATACAGCCCTTTCAGTTAAAAGTTGGGGTGTTGCATCGAAACCCTAAAGCCTAAACCCTAAACCCTACACCGTAGAAAAGGGGCAGAGCTGGCTGGCTGGCCAGGCTACGGCTACAACCAGAGCAGCGGCTGGAACGAGGAGGCCGGCACCCCCAAAGTTAGGCATCCTTTATATGGGGGGGTTTCCGAAAATTGGGGTACCCCCTTTTTGGGGGTCCTATAGAAAGGATTATAGTAGTATGGGGAACATGAGAGTACGTACCCCTATTTCCCAAAATGCCTATATCTACATGGGCCCCATGATTAACATTAGTTTACGGTCGTATATGAGTGGACCATGATTCAGAGCAGCGCCCAAGAGGGTTTAAGGATGTCGAGGACTGGAGAGCTTGGATTCGGGATACAGTAGGAGGCAACCGGACGCCGCAAGATGCCACGTTTCAAGGTGGGGCACATCGGCTCCGATGCTACGAGTGGGTTCAAGCTGAATGAGATGGACCTGCAAGGCACCTCGATTTTCTCTTCCAGAGCAGAGGCAGAGACACCTAACAGGTATCGACCAAAGCATCATGTGACAGTAGCGCAGCAAAGTGCCTGAGCCCCCCGAACCCAAAATTTCAAATTCCAGGCCAGCCACCTCTCCGCGAGAACGGCCACTGGAACGAGGCGAGGGCAAGGTTGTACAGATTTCAAGTGTACGGAGTCCAAAGTTTATTTTAAGCCCGAAAGACTGCCCGAACTTGGAAGCCTAAACGCCCCGTAGCCCCGTAGACCCCAATTTCAAGCTTGGCCCTTTGCAGGGGACCTTCATGTCCGTGGACGTCGCCGTTGCACCCCGGGCATGGGATGAGGCAGCCTCCAGTGCAGAATGGATACTGTGAGGAGATGTTACAATAGAAGCATGTGTCTAATTTCATAGTACTAGAAATGAGTGACATACTATATAACAAACGAGTTTCGGGCCGGTGCTTCGTTGGTGGTTTTACCGGAGACGCCGAGGCGAATATGGAACAACCCCCTCTGCCGTGATCGTACAAACAGTGATAAAGGCAATATCACAAAGTACAGCCGTCACACTTGTCCCAGCACTCCTTGAACGATGTGACAACCCGACGCGCGAAGCTTCACCTGTTGGCTGGCCCTGAGCTTCTACATGGCAGTTCTACAGCTGTACAGCGTACAGTGCAAACCTTGGATCCAAGAGCCACTCCTGGTCAGGGACCGTCTCCCTACATCGAGAGCCCCACTGGCACGACAGGATCGAACTGCCGTCAGCCTGCAGGGGTTACACGAGTTGTGCGGCTGCTTGGTGTAGTGGCTTCAGAGCAGCGATGCAGAAGTCTTTTGCTTGATTCTGACTACTACAGCTGCCGACGCATGTAGACAGTCCTGAACACGGGAGGCCAGTGGCAGCTGCTCAGCACACCTGGACCTGGGTCCATGCAGGCGGCTGGAGCCTCCGATGTCTTTAGCTTTTCCAAGTCCAGGAGTCCAGGTGTGCTGATCTAGGCATGAGAAAGAATCCAAAGACAGAGACAAGAAAGGTGTGCGAATTGGCCCGTGGCCTGCCAGGCGCAGCCCATGGCCTGCCAGGCGCAGCCCATGGCCTGCCAGGCGCAGCCCATGGCCTGCCAGGCACAGCCCATGGCCTGCCAGGCGCAGCCCATGGCCTGCCAGGCGCAGCCTATAGCCATAGAGGCCGGCTGGTCATTGCTCGGTTCGTCGTGCACTTTTCTCTTTTCGTGTGCTGTACCATGCGTGATTACGTTGCTGAGCCTGAAGTTTGTGCAAGACAAGAATGATAATAATCCTTCCTGCTTCTCATGATTTTTGTTACTGTTGAGATTCTGAAACTAAACTCAAGCCCTTGGGCCCTGTGGTATGCGGTGATGAAGGTCAGACCGCTGCAGCCCATCAGACCGGCAATGCAGCCTCAGGAGAGCCGAGTCAACCCCCAATGATGTTCAAGGCTTCCAGGGTTCAGGGTTCAGGGTTTAGGGCTGAGGGCACAGGGTCGGATGGCTGTTGAGTGTTGCAAGCAACAAGGAGTGGCATTTCGGGCTTCTTTGCAGGTACTTTTTTGAATAAAGCGAGGGGTTTCCGAAATTAGGAGTAACTTGTTGGGGTCCTTCTTATCAGGGGATCCTACGATTTGGGATCTATGTTTGGGTCCCCCCTTTTCGTAAGCCCCCATCTAGGGGTCTTGACTGCGCAGGACGACGCGCAGGCGGTCCTGGCAGCTGCGGGCGCGGGCATGGCAGCTGCTTTGTTAGAGGCACCCTTGATGAGGTTTCCTATAGTGTGCAGAAAGTCATGTGATAAGTGTCGCCCACGGAGCTTTGTGGTGTATTTCTATACCCGAACCCCCAAGAGACATCACTTGGACTCCCCGCTTTGTAAAACGCGGTCAGGACCCAGTGGAGCAGCAAACGCAGCAAGAGGACCGGCCGCTGTGCCTTGTAGAAGACTGAGACATGGGAAAACAGTCATCAAACAATTTTTGCCCAGTGCACGGAACGTGGTTCTCATTTGCGCATGGCCAAAACAGCAGGCTGAAGGCAGTCTGATCCAGAGAGAACGAACGCAGTCGCCAGTCAGTGGCCAGGCTGCGATGTACAGCTTGCTCATGACCGGCGGGGACCCCAATTCCTGGGATTTCCTTGCGCTATCGTGGACTGCTGGCTGGTTTAGGGCTCGGTTATACCCCTAAATCCATCTTGACCTAAGCCTCAAACCCACAAGGTCGAGCAGGGAGCCGTTCGTTGCTTTAACCCTGCGCTTGCACTTCAAAGCAACCTGAGACCCCTAAACCCTCCTAAACCAGGTGGCCCGGAGCAGGCGGCCAACATGCTTGCAGGCCCCTTCGCTGTGTTGAATACTGTATCCTGATGAGAGATGCTACAGGCTCAGGATCTTGGTTATAAAGTTCAGGGTCCTCGAAGCATGAAGCAGGAAGATTTCGGGCCCCGTCATCCCACACAAGCCTGCAATGGACCCTAAGCTGCAAACTGCAAACATCCCTGAAACCCGCGCGCAGACTACAGCGGCTTCCCGTCGCAAGGGACGGTGCTGCGCTGGGCAGCCCACGCCTTACACTCTGTTTGAGGGTCTTGCGCTGTCAAGCCTGGTATATCCGATTCAAGCGTCTGGTTTGGACAGACTCCGCTCTGAGGTCCCCGCGCCAGCCAATGCGTGGCCAAGTGGACAAGCCAGCATCGCCAGCATGGACAACACCGTGCTCTCAGAGATGTGGCAAAGCTGCACAGAGCCCCACAAAGTGTTCAAGCCGCGTTTACGAGACCTTATACAGCTGTTCACCCATAAAAGAATCGCTCCCTGGGTATGCCCGGACAGACCAAAGCAAAAACTCTCCGCGCCTCCACGCAACCTCCTCTTAGGGTTTTCGCGAGCCCGGCACCAACTTGCGTGCCCGGAACTCAGGGCCGGCCGGACACTTTGTGGGATTTAGGAGGGTTCAAAGATGTTTAAAGTTTAGGGTCAGGGGGGCAGCCGTTATCAGAGCAGAGGCATAATCTTTTGAAACCGAGAGGGTCTTTGAAGTGGATAACTTTGAGGTGTGGGTTTTGGGGGGACGTGTGGGGTCAGGGTCCACCCTAAACCCTAAACCCTAAGCCCTGAACCCTAAACCCTAAACCCTAAATGGCATCTCTGACTGGAGGCCAGCGTGGCTCGACCTGAGCCAGGCCATCCACGTCATCGCGGGCTAAGGTGCGAAGTCCTCCACTGCATGTATCGGATATCGAAGCTCCTTTTCCGGGCGTATGCTTTATTGGGTCCTTTGGCTGTGAGTGCGTGCCGCTACTTGTGCCCTCTCCTTACTCATGATGCTCCTGCCGTTCCAGTTTCACTTGGCTTCAGGTGTCCCATGAGGATCCTAAGACTCAATTGCTGAGTACGTAGTCGGTCATGCCAGCAGCTAGATTCAGCATCTCCCTCTGGAAAGCGGTCGCCGCGACTTCTTGCAACATCTCAGCATCCTGAAGACATTCCTCCGTAAGACGCACTAGCGGGCATAGCGGCAACAGTACCAGTGGCATGCATTGCATGACTGCAATGTCGGCGTCGGTGGTGAAGTCAAGCTACACCACAGCCACAGGAGATCTCGGCTTGCTGCGATGGGTTTGAGCTTGTTGCAGGGTATGGGGCCGCTCGAAGCAGCAACTGGCGGCGAGATCCTCGGTTTCGCCAGCATTGTGAATTGGCCAGGAGAGGAGGAAGAGTACGAGGAAGAAACGGAGGAAGATGATCCAGAGGTCAGGTCCTTGCACAACCAAGTCACTCTAGCAGGCATGTCACGCTTGTGCCGGGTGGAAGGTATCGCATGGCCATGCATGGTTAAGAGGTAGCGCGAGATTCCCGGGCGATGGAAGGAGTCCTCTGAAGTTTCGTCGATCCATCCTCCGCCCTTGCCGAGAACGGTGGCGAGCTTGGAGCGTCGTTTCCATGTACTCCTGTCGGCTCATGTCCTTTCGGCTTTTGAGTCCTGGGCCTGGTCTGCCAGCCACTCTGAGCTAGAGATGTTATAGACGTTTTCTGACACTGCACGGCTTGCTGGCGTTTTCTCATCTGCTAGACAGAAGCCACGACTGCAAGCAACAAGGGGAACCCTGTTTGGGTCAATTTGCTGCAATTGAATAATCATAACAATAATTCTAATCATAAAAATAGTAATAGTAACAATACTAAAAAAGCAATAATAAAAACAATATTCTCGTCATTATGACTAAGCAGCAAGGGTTCCAGACCCCTCGCCTTCAGGTTGCAGGGCGCTTTCGACTGCGGGGCGAGATTGGCTCTGGCTCCTACAGCGACGCTGGGGGTCAATTCGAGCAGCCCTTTTTTTTTTTCCCCTTTTCTTAGCTAAAGTTGCTGAGTTCCCACTTTGTCGATTCCATTAAGACATTGAGTGTAATTGAGCTGGATGAATCCGGCCCCGGGGCTTCCCTACCCCTACCAAAATAAGACTCCTTGGGTAGAGTGTTGAGTGGTTGTGAGTAAGTTTCGAGGTGTTGTTTTTTAGGGTTGTCGGGTTTGGGCCTAGGACGAGTTCAGCTTGACGCTTCTGGCTGAGCACTGCTCAAGACCCACCCCAAAAAGGGCATGCCATCTAGAAAAGGAAGTCTACATGGGAGAGGATGGCGATGCGGGTGCGGAGCTCGGAACATCTCGGAACCATGAACATCGCACCACAGCACGGAACTACTTTGCGCCCGAGAACCTCTCCCAATCACATTTACAGACTGTCGGAACAACGACTTCCAAGCCCAAACTCCCTAAGTGATCCGCATCTCACAATGGAGATGTGGCAAGTACCAGGACTTAGAGAAAGCAGCGCATGTACCTGGATTTCAACGGCTTGCTGCCCGCTGACGCGCAGCCCGCGCCAGGCGACAATGTGGCCATCAAAGTCGTGCTGTGCTTAGCAAGCTATCCAGACATGTCGTGAAGGCTTCAGCCCTTAAGCCCCCCAAGCCCCTAAACTTGTCGACTCTTAGGAATGGCACCATGCCGAGAAGGGTGCGAAGCTGTTGGGGCCTCGGAGACCTTTCGCGAAGCGTGGGTCCAGCACAGGAGCTCAGGGGTCAATATGGCTTTGTGTGGACTTTGACGGCATGCTCTGGGATCTCGATGTGTTCGGTGCACGGTGCCCTAAGCCTTGTCAGCCTTTTAAAGCATCTATACGCCGTACTATACGCCCTAAACTATCTTCTCTAGTTCGGTGAATGAAGTATGCGGGCTCTGCAGCTACTTGGCACGAAGGCGGCTTTCGTGGTGTCGCATGGCAGGTTCTAGAAGCTTCGAAGTCAGAATCCAACACTATAGTCACTAAAGAAAAGCTTGAATTATTGGAGCACAGGCTGGAAGAAGCAAAATTCTACAAATCGCTCGGGCTGCACAACGGCTCGGCGTCTCGGTGGCAAGCCGCACATGAGGGTTGTTCTAAAGTGCCTGAACCCCAAACCCTAAACCCTAAACCCTAGTAAGGGTTACGAAGTACTCTGCACCTCCAAGTGCTTAAAAGCTGCGCACGCATTCAAGCCCCAGGCAGCCGAAAGTCGACCCTGAAATTCAGAGGTCTCTGAGATTCCCGAGCCCCTGAATCCTAAATCCTGCACATTCCCCCTGCTTTAATTCGTGAAGCCTAATCCCTAAACCCTTAACCCTAAACCCTAAACCGCATGTCCAAACGAGCCCGGCAAGCGTAAGGCTCCTCAGTGGCCGCTCATCAGCTCCTTGGGCTTGTCTTGGACTGCTGCTAGAGCCCCCAGCCCTTGAGCCCTACACCCTTGTGCAAGGATGCAGGTGGTTCTCATTGTTTTTGTTTTTCAATCACTGTCCTTCCAGTAACACACGCACATCCCAGAACTTCTCCTTAAACTCCGAAAGCCCCTTCGTTAAACAAACGCCCTCCCTCACACCCCCTCTTCCCGATGAAAGCTGGAGGATGGGTTGGTACCGAAGGGGAGTATGACATGATGGTCATGGACTTGCTCCTCGCCTTTGCAATGGAGAGGGGGGGGGGTTTGTTCCTAGTTGGAGTTCCTTTTCTCTTTGGGGATGGGGGGCGGGGGGCGGAGATCCTCTTTATAATGGATGCAAGATGATGCGAATACGGAAGGGGACCCTGTGATTCAGAACAGGCAACCAACGTGGAGAGTAGCATCAAGTTGTGGACAATGTCGGTCCCTGACCCCCTGAAGGCTCGGACCATCGCTGGATGCATACTTCAAGCACTGTGGGTCGTTTAGCTTGAAGACAACTCTAACGGTTGCCCTTCAGACACCTGGATGCATTCATTTAGGCAGCAGCTCCAGACAAGTTGGCCCCTCCGTCGGTCTCCTGTCACACGTTGGTCACGAGCAGTCGTCGCTAGCATGGGATCGGGATGGCCATCTCGTTCGTTCAATATTGCAAGATTCAGAACCCAAGTAAGCAGGTGACTTCAAGTTCTGACTGTTTGGAATCATCAGAGACAATTACCGTAACAGCATTGTCCGTTTTCCGGGCGTGATATCCACACCCCTGACGAGCCCACGCTGTGCCCAAACCGAGGATAATCGACCGCCTCGAATACGTGCATAGCTGCGGCATCTTGTACAGGGACATCAAGCCACCCGGCCGCAAGAACTCCCAAGAGCAAAGGACCCCCAAAAAAGGATCCCGATCCTAACTCTGCTTCACTCGCCTTCTCTTCCGGCGTTTTCTCTCTCCTCTGCCGAGCTGAGGCCGCACAACTTTTTGATGGGTTTGGGGGATCCGGCCTCAGAGAAACTTGAAAAACCTGAGGTTTCTCGCATGCGAGGTTTGTGTCCTGAGCTTTGGAAGGATGCTTTGGAAGGATGCTTATAGGGCTTAGGGTTTGGGAAGGGCGTGGGAAACCTCAGTGGTGCTCCAGGTGCCTCGACCTTAGCCTTGAGCTTTGTGCTTTCTGGAAAAGGGGTGGCGGTCCTTCTAAAGGCGCGGGCAATGCATTCTGCAGCTGGCGTTCCATTCGTTCAGCTGCGTGGCTTCTTTGCCGCCTGTACCAAAACCCTGGCTACTCCGGATGTTCGGACACACGTGCTGCGCCTGAAGCTGAGGAACACAGTAGCCGAGTGTACATCGTAGACTTCGGGCTTGCCAAGAGCTGCTCTGCTGCAGCAATCCGAATTTGCGTGGTACCTGCTTTCGGTACTTGTGAAGGCTAGAGTGGGCATTTGTGAAGGTGGCTGAATGCTCGATAAGAGCATTCGGGGCTACTTGGAGCTGTGGTTCCAGAATGTGAGGGATGCCGAGTCGTAGAAGTGAATACGCCAAGGGTACATTGACAAGCATGGCCGGCCCTGCCCTCAGCTGTGCCGGGAAGCATGCAGCAATATTGCAGCGCACAACACAAACACAAATGTTCTTGCACGACGTTGCGATGTGGGCAGCTAGATGAAAGGTAGTGACTGCGTTAGACATCGGCAAGTCAGCTTGTCACCAGTACAATCGAGGCATATTGCCTGCTCCAGCAAGAAGCGGAGCGGCGTCACCGGCAGGGGCCTTACTTGCGGCACAGCCTCGGTGCAGTCAAAACACACAACCCAACTGGAACCCACGCCGACTGGGTTGTTGCATAGGCCAGTCAGCCTCCAGCTTCAATAGTCTGACGCAGACCGGAATACAATCCCCAAAGCTCTCAAAATCCCGCGAATCTGCTGCTCCAACGGCCGAGGCACCGTGCGGCCTGGTCCCCAGTCGGCCATCACGCGGGGTCACAGAAGTTCATGATGAGGTCATGCAGTTCATGTGCAGTTCATGGTTTGCTTGATTTTCCGGCGTACCAATAAGCTGCGATCGCTGCAACTCTCTTCTGGCTTGAGGTACAGCTCGATCAATGTGCATGAAGGAGTTGACGCGAGTCGTCGCGATGACCTAGAAGCCACAGGCGAGTTGACTACCCTTCCCACGCATCTGAGGGAGAGGTGCCAAGAGCGACAGCACCCACCAGCCTTGCAACTCAGACCTCGAAGCCCTGGACAAAAGTATCAAGTCCTAAACATTGAAACCCCCGAAGCCAATGAGCATCCCTGAACATCCCAGGTGGGATCCCATGGACATCTCTCAAAGCCCCAAAGATTCCCCCCCCCCCCCCCCCCAAACTTCTCGCAGGCTACATGTTTGTGCATTTTCTTCGAGGCAGGGAGCTCCAGATGCCCCCCCCACCTCCCCAGAGGTTTCCTTGAGGTCTAGGGTAGCGTTAAGGTAGGGTTCAGAGGGCAGCGTTTAGGTTTTTGGGTACACTTTTTCAAGTTTTGAAGTAGAGGGCCGGGAGAAGGCACCCAAAATGCACTGACATGCACTGACACTGCGGAGCTGCTCTAGATGAGGGTCCCCTTACCACAGGGGGACCCTGGCCCGAATATGTCAAAGCAGTTCTTGGTTTTTCGCCACACGCGAAGGCGACTTGCCCTGGCTGGGCCTCAAGGCAAGGCGGTCGCATTTGTTTTCTGTTTCCCTCAAACCTTAAACCCCCTTTAAGATTGAGGCTGTACATGGCTGCAGCTCTATAAACTTGATAACCCCAAACAACTGAGTAGTAGAGTAGCTGGCCTTTGACCTTTTTGGGGCATTCGAATCCCATTAATGCATGATATTTCCCCTGGGATGCTGGACAACTAAGAAAAACCTCAGCCCCTGTGAGCTCCTGGGCCTCGTTGAGCGCAGGCTCACTCCAAGAAGTCCAAGCACAAGGCGATTGGCCGCTCCGAGCCCAGCTTTGCCTCGTTTCGGACAGCACCGTCTTAAGTTGCGTTGAGCGCAACTGCCATGCACGGCACCTGGGTGATTGCAGATGTTGCCGGCAAGCTACTTCTCCGAGCAACTCGCTTCAGCTGTATATGTCGTCTGAAACACCGGAGAAACTTCATGCCGCGAGTCTCTATGTCGCCTCACTGTCAGCCTTCGGAAAGCCCTGCCCGAAACACTGACTTCTTTTTGGGACCAGCGGTGTTTCCGGGTTCTCAGGTGTGAAGCAGCAGACAAGTGACGAGGAACTGTGTGCCTCAACAGGATTCAGTGGGTAAGGGCGTAGCGACGCTCAGCTAGCCACACGCTACTATCACTGTTTGGTGTTGGCTACAGCAGGAGAGCGCGTGTTTGCGTGAGTGTGCTTGACAAGCCGAGGCAAGGGATATCCTGACGAATTCCGCCGGGCACTTGCACACCGCCGTTTACTGTAGCTCATTCATGGGCCCGCAGCACTCTCTCGCGCTTCTCAGCAGGTGAGTTCATCGCTTATTCGAAGTCACTGGGGTACGCGGACCAGCCAGACTACGAATACTTGCCCCTCATCAGCACCACATGCCCGACCACGGGAGAGAGTCTGGGCTGGTGTTCAGCAAGCTGTCAGCTCGTCTCCCGAGCTTACTCCTGGCTCAGGCGCGGCATGTTCCGGAAGCTCTTCGAGAGGCTGTTCTGGAGCTGTGCTTGTAGCCACTCTGCGGCTGGTGTTCGGTGCATTGCGTATGCTCGTAGTTTGGAGGCAGGGCTTTCGCTTCGATGGCCAGTTTGATTGGACGGGCAAGACGCTGGGCTGCATGTTCCGTGCTTGCTCGATCATGTGACATCATGTGACATGTGGACTGCTTACGTGCAGCTAGCTTGGAGCTGAAACAGCAGAGTGGGAGTCCACGTGGCAAGTCGGTGGATGCTCGGGTGCAGCATCCCGGGCATTCAATCAATTACTTGGCGGACCTCGCCTTCTAAAGCCTGAACATCCCTGAGCCCCAGCAGGGGTGGGATGCGGATCAAAAAAAAATTATTTAGGATCAAGAAAAAATTTATTTAGGATCAAGAAAAAAGTTATTTAGGATCAACAAATAATTTATTTAGGATCAAGAAATAATTTATCCTGTTCTTCCGACGGAGAGAGGGAAGGGGAGGGAGGGAGGGAGAAAAGGAGGGAGGGAGGGAAGGAAGGGCGGGAGGACGGAAGGAAGGAAGGCAGGAAGGAAGGAAGGAAGCAAGCAAGGAAGCAAGGAAGCAAGGAAGCAAGGAAGCAAGGAAGCAAGGAAGCAAGGAAGCAAGGAAGGAAAGGAAAGGAAGGGACAGGAAAGGATATGTAGGAAAGCATAACATAACATCATGTGTTAATATATATATATATGTATATATATTAAAGCAAAGTATAACAAACTATTTAGAGTGGCATAGAGTAGAATAGAACACAATATCGTAGAGTATACCTTTGTATCATAACAATATAATGAAATCGAAATAGCAAAGCATATATGTATATATTTACTGCTATTTGGTATAGAATTGATAATACACAATACATATTTCTTGTTTGTTTGGCGCCGGGCAAGCTTCTTCCACTCGTATGAATCCCTTCCAAACCCATGATGCGAGCATTGTGTTTGCAAATGGGGGGGGGTCTGCGCCCCCCCTTCAAACCCCCCGCTGTTTCTTAAAGCCGGGCAAGCTTGCTTCAAAGCATATGAGTATCCTTTCCAAACCAATGATGCGAGCGTTGTGTTTGCAAATGGGGGGGGGGCTGCGCCCCCCCCCCCCCCCCCCCCCCCCCCCCCCCTCGCCGGCTGTTTTCTTAGTCCGGGCAAGCTTGCTTCAAAGCACATGAAGACGCAGTAAGATACAATGATATACAAGAATATATTACAAAACGATGCAATAATATACAATAATACAGAAAAATACAACAATATGCAAGTATGTACAAGAATATGCAGCAATATACACGTAAAAAAAAGGAATAACTTACAATAATTTTCAGTAATTGACAATAATATTCAATAATAGACAACAATATACAATCAGAAATATACAAAATGTACAAAAATATACAAAAATATACACCCATATATACAATGTTTTTCAAAAAATCTACAAAAGATGTACAGCAAGACATACAACAATATAAAATAGTGTACAAAAGATTACAATAATATACAATAGTAGATATACAATAGTAGACAATAATATACAAGAATATACAATAATATACTATAATACAGAGTAATCTGCAATAATATACAAAGAAAATTCAAGAATATACAATAATATACAGTAACTTACAAAAAAAGAGAACAATGTACAATAAATTGAAAAATATACAATAACATTCAATAATATGCAATAATATGCAATATCACACAAAAACATAAGAAAACACAAGACAAAACAATAATACTCAACCATATATACAACAACGTACAATAACATGCAAGAATATACAATGTCATACAATATTATACAAGAATTTCCACAATACTATGCCAGAATATACATGCTTCAGAGTATACGCATTTTTGAAACTTCTAATGCCAAGATGCCAGCATTGATTTGCAGCCTCTGCAAACTCAGAAATGCTGCTATTTACAGTATTTCCAGCCTTCGAAATCGCAGAAATGCTGCTATTTTCCGTATTTGCAGCCTCTGGAAACTCAGAAATGCTGCCGTCTTCCAGCCTCTGAAAGCGCAGAACTGCTGCTACAAACAATATCTGCAGCCTCTCTGGAAACTCTGAAATGCGCAAAAATGCTGTGTTTTTTTTCGGTATTTAGAGCTTGCGAACGGCCAGAACTGCTGCATTTCTGAGCGTTTACAGCCTCCGTTCCGCTTGCAAGAAGCCTTCGAAGCCTTCAGTAAATTATTTTTTGATCCCAAATAAGTTTTTTTTGATCCGCCTAGAAATAAATTATTTTTTGATCCCAAACAAATTTTTTTTGATCCCCTACCCAGCAGGGGTCTGCCTCTGCCACTTAGGCCACACAACCCTAAACCCTGAAACCCCAAAATCCCCCGAAACCCCTGAACATCCTCTAATGACCATAGCATCCTTGAACCCTAAAACCCTAAAACCCTAAAACCCCTAGACCCAAATACCGCAAATACCCCTCAAGAAAGGCCTCTCCCGCCGCCGGACAAGCGAAAGAAGATCAAGTCTTGCTCGCGGGACCTGCGGCTGCTGCGGGAGGCCCCCGAGAGTTGTGGGGATTTTAGGGGCGTGGGGGGGGGGCGTAGGGTGTAGAGACTTTGGGGATTTTGTAGGGTTTAGGGTTTAGGGTTTAGGGTTCAGGGTTTAGGGTTTAGGGTTTGGGGGTGTGTGATTCAGGTTTTCAGGCAGGTTGGGGTTTTGAGCTTCGGGACTTAGGCAGAAGGCTCGGGCTTATAGATATGACTCCCACACCTCAGCCGAGACCTTAGACCTTGTCATCTCGACTCTCGAGCTGACAGCAGCAAGACTGTGCGACATGGGGCCATCCTCAGTCAAAGGGGGGGGGTGTTTAGGGTTCAGGGTTCAGAGCTTAGGGTTTAGGGTTTAGGTTTCTTTCATTAGATCATGTGGGCCCTTCAGGTTTCATCCCCCAAACATTGGGCCCTAGTTGAGAGAAGTACCCTGCAGTTGTCCAGGCGAAGGCCTGCGAAGAAGCCGCTCAGGCGGTCCAGGTGGGCGCCGTGGTCTCAACATGCCTTAACTGGGAGGTTCATGGGTAGTGAGAAGTGGGGTTCTAAGTAGGGTAACTCTATGTTATTGCTGGTTATGGCCTTCTTTGGGGTACTTATAACCCCAGTTATAACTATCCATGAACCTCCAAGTAGTGGAAGTTTGCAGGGTTCCTTAGCCCCTGGATAGAGAACCCTGAAGAAGCTGATCCAAGACCCTCCAGCTTTCATGGGTTTCTCTACTACCTCCCTCTATACTACCCTCCCCGCCCCCCCTTTGGGGAACCCATGAAGCTTCAACATGCCATCGGCCAGCGATCGCCAGGTAGTCGATCCAAGCTCTCCCATGCAAGTCTCTTGGCAAAAGTCAGCTGTGAAACTGGCATTCTTTAGGTAGCTGAGCCTATGCCTTGTTATTGTTGGAAGTGTTGTGAATCGGTGCGCTACTGGCTTACGGTTGGCTCCGTGTCTCTCTCTCTCTCTCTCTCTCTTTCTCGCTCGCTCGCTCGCACGGTCACTTGGTTGGCGAAGTGCATTTGCGATGCACAAGTGGCCACTTGTAGCACTGCCACACGCATACTGCCGTTGAGGTCTCGCGATCGCGTAGCCGTGATCGCCGAAGGGAGGGGAAGCGTTGAGTGCAAAATGTGCGCGTGGAGAACCTGGAGCAGAGCGAGAAGGGGTCTGCATGAAAGTAACAACCAATGTCAAGCCACCAGCTATCTGAGCAGCTGTTATAGGTTTTTGTGTAAGCAAGTGCTGTCGGCGAACCCAAGACCTTTTTAACCCTAAACCTGTGACGCCAGACCCTGGCACAGCGGTGAAACGCCCGGCAGCAAGCAACAGTGTCAGCGTTTCTTGCGCAGGTCGCAAGTTGCAAGGTGGACTTGGTCCACACTCTTCTGCCAATGGACCGCTTGGGGGGGCGGTATTTAGGGCTTGAAAGAGTCAGGGCGCTTTGGGTTACCAGGGGGCCCGACGCGCTGAAGGAAATTGGACTGAGGGTTTGGAGTCTCGCCCCCCTGTAGGTTTTCGGATGTTTTCGGTTTCGCCATGGGGTATGGTTTTATGCTGTAAACCCAAGGCCCAAGAATGCCCAAGGCAGGGCCGAGGCAAAGCATCCTTGGGTTTCTGGGATGTCTGTTGGGAGGATGTTTGCTAGAGGGGCTTGCGCGTGGGTCCCTTAAATGACGTAACGTCCTGGCGTCCCGAACAAGTCCCTACGAAAGCTGCACGGCGGCGGGGTTCCAGAAGGCACCAGCACCATTGATTGTTATGCGCCCTGACACTCCTAAGTGTCGAGTTTGTGGGATGTCCGTCGGAAGGGAGGTGTTTGTGGGTGTCTAGGGGTTCCGTAGATTTCTCAGGGGGTCCGTCCCTAGGCGGTCCCGGGGCTGGGGGGTGAGGGCAAGAAGAGGCGTGGGGGACCGATGCGGGTTTTGCTTCTGAGTGTGCTCAACTCTCACTGTAGCATTGGTGGAACCATCTCGGGGTGCCAGGAACTTCAGCAAAGCTGCTGTCTGCCGAAACACCGCACTGCCCCAAAGCCAGGCACAGGAAGCACATGGAAAGAGACCCCCACAGGCAAAGCGTTTTGATCTGTTTTGTCAGAGCAAGAGGAGCTGCGGTTTCAACGTGTTGTGAGGAGTGTTTGGCTGTGGTGCTCCTGTGCTTGCGGGCTAGACCGCAGAGAGAGGTGACAAAGTCACTCTGAAACGTGCAGGGGGCTTGCCAGACCATGGTGCTTGGTCAGTGTGTGACGCGAGTCAGCTTGAACAGTTGCCTGCAACAGTGACAGCTTCCAGCTGACCAAAGGCCATGAACAACTGGAGGTATGTCTCAAGACTGGTGCTTTTGCCCGATTTCCTTTCTCACGCTGTCTCATGCACAAATGCATGTTAGGGCCCTCGCTTGGGGGTGCCATGAAGGGTCTCGATGTTGTGGCCTTGTTTTGAGACCTACCCGCACAAATTGCAGGGCAGAGTTTTCAAGCAATAGTCGGTGGATGTCATCATACCATCACACAGCACTTGCATAAGTTACATAAGCTTGCCATTGCATGCCATCCAAGATGTGTGTTGTTCGTTTTGTTCTGGTGCTTGCGACAGATTGCAGTGGAGAACTGACGCAGCGGGTGTGAGCCGGACAGCGCATCACGACTTGCTGGAGGGAGGAGCTTGCTACTAACTTTAACTTGGCTTCACAGACTCCGCGCGATAAATCTTCAACCTCAAGAAGTGTCTTGTTGGTGCGAGCCTCCAAGTCAAGTCAGAGCTCTGCCAGACTCTACCATTGATAGTGAACATGCTCATCGAATGGAAGGAGCTCCACCATGGGTTCAGAAGTGTTGGGGCTGATAGGGCCCCTGGAGGACATACCGACATACCATGAAATTTAATGACTGGGCCTGCGCGCTTGCGCACGGTTCCTTCGAAGCTCCTTCGTTTTGATTCGCGCGGCATGTCCGGTGCATCGTGGGGTCACTTGGTTCCGAACATGACCAGACTAGGGTAAATGTGAGGCTTGTATTCTGCACACCATGCTTTCCGACGTCTGGGGCTGCTGTGCCTGGGTTCTCTTGTCAGTCAGTGAATGCATGACCCCACGATGCTGTGATTGCCTCAGGTGGCAACTCGGTAAATCCTGGCGATGATAGTCTATAGAGTGTAGCGTTAGGATGGGATGTGGGGAGGCCCTCAATCCTGAAACTCCAAGCCGTACATTCAGCCCGGAAGCAATCACGCTCGATTCATGACTTTGCTTAGCGTGGAGATCGGCTGGCGACCAAGGCCAGCTGCATGTTTTTCCGCGGGGGGGGGGGGGAGGGTTAGGTGTACAGTTTGGGATTTTCCCCCTTATACTACCAGTCCTTAATAGGGGGTAGTATAATCCCGAGTAAGGACTGTTAGTATAAGGGGGAACATCCGAATGTACAGTGTCCACCAGCTAGTTTGCTTGTTCTGGTTGCATGGTTCATCATGTCCTGGGGGCGGCTTCTCGGAATCATCCATTGCAGTACGACTTGCGCAGCAAGAATCTGATTGAACCCCTCTTGGCCAGGTTGCATCGCGAGTTGTTTGTACATACCGCTCTTCCCAGAGCTCGTGCACATGCCTGGCTCCCAGCTCGATTGCCCAGAGGGGGGGGGGGGAGAGAAGGATAGAGAGAGAGAGTCATGCACGGGGGGCAACGAAAGAAAGAGGGAGGGACAGAGAGAAGACGCGGCAAGGGACCCAGGGAGGGGCGGGGTGGGGGAAACGGAGAACAGAGAGAGAGAGAGGGTGGGCAGGCTGACCTTTGGACTCGCGCGCCCCTAGGGGCAGCCTTCCCCTTGGGGGGGGCTAAGCCGGGCAGGAGAGAGAAAGAGAGGGCGCGCAGGAAGGAGGGCATCAACGTCACTGCGAACTTGGGGCGAACCGGGCCGTGCCTTAAAGAATGAGAGAAAAAAAGACTCTGGGCGGTCTTTGGGGGCTCCCCATGCCCAGCAGCAGAAAAAGAAGGAGAAGAAGAAGAAGAAGAAGAAGAAGAAGAAGAAGAAGAAGAAGAAGAAGAAGAAGAAGAAGAAGAAGAAGAAGAAGAAGAAGAAGAAGAAGAAGAAGAAGAAGAAGAAGAAGAAGAAGAAGAAGAAGAAGAAGAAGCGAGAGAGACAGTGTGTGCCAGAGGTCGCGGGAGCGGGGCGAGCCTTGGAGCAGGGGTCCTCCTAGCCCCATAAACAGAAAGGAAGGAAGAAAGGAAGGAAGGAAAGAAAGAAAATCAGAAGAACAACTTGCTTTTTGTGTGTGCCTGGCTGAGGCTTCTCAGCCTTGTCGACGCGCAGGGGCTCACCAAAGCAAGTCACCAAGCGGAGCATCGGCCACAGATTCCTCACATGAATGACACAAGCTTCGGTCATTCTGTTGTTAGATTTGTGAGAGGAATTTGAGGCCGAAAAGCCCGTTTAGTCTCACCCTGGCAGCCACAGCTAACAGCTAGATTGGCGTCACTTTTGTGATGCCTTCCCGACTATCGAGCAGACCACATCGCATTTAGGCCACGGCCTAACATATTCAGGTATACAATCTGCACGCACACTGTCATGTAGCGGCACGTGTCGGGAAGTTACTTGTATTTAGATGTTTTTTAGCATCGTTGGTTCTCCAGGCGCGGGTCAATTTAAAGACGCGCACTTTCGCATGTCGGGCCAGTCAGCCTGACGGGACCACACATCGGCGGCTCTAGTCCATGAAAGTGAGTCGCTGCGGAGAGACGGTTGATGTCCCACTCCACTTGGGAGTAGACCCCCTGGGCAATACTGTTCGTAATTAGTATTCATATTGTTCATAAGTATAGTGTACATTAGTGTACTGGTACAAGAGTGCAAGTGAGTCTACGGGTAGCATATTGTCACTAGCAGGTCTGCTGCCGATGTTGTTCTCGGCCCGCGAACAGCCTGCCACCATCATTATTCGCAGGCCTCAAGCTGTTCACATCTTTTGAGGCAGGGACTTTTGGCGGGGAACAGCATGGAGTGCGGAGGCACAATGAAGACCCTCATGCAGAGGGCAAGCGGATTATATCCCAGAACGCGGGCTGGCCGAGGAAAAACACTCGCGCGTGTGTGGATCACCACTTGCAGTGCCGAGGCGTGGCCGGGTTTCTCGAACAATGCATTATTTAGGGTTTAGGCTTTAGGGTTTAGGGTTGAGGGTCCTGCACTGTCAACCCGAGAGCAAACGATCAAGCATTTGGCAGGCACCCGTGGCGAAAAGAAAGCCCGCGTGATGCCTGCTGATATATGCGTCCTGGAGACGAAAACAAAGCGCGTCTGGCAGTCAATGAGCCGGCTATGCAGCTCAGCCTTTCCCATCCTGTCCCACTTTGTGTCGCAATGTTGATATCCTGCAAGCATGCTGACTTGATCAGTCGCGCATGCATCTCGCACCCACACACACACAATGCCCACGGGGGCACGTCCTGCAAACTTCAAGAGAGGCAAGTTGTTCTTCTCAGATGTGTAATCCCGACAGTTCTACGAAGTCACAGCTTGAACAGCGGGCTTAGGACATTGTAGCTATTCAGGGGCATACTTCCATACGCAGAAGCAGAACCCACAGTTTGAGGGGTATCGGAGTGAGGGAGCCGGACAGCATCTGCAGCCCCGAATCGTGGGATAGGTATGGGTGCTTTCGGCTTTCGAAGATTTACTTGCCTTACCGCCGTATGATTTCTCGTAGGGCCTGATCGTCGTGCCAAGAGAATCACAGGGCGATAAGGACATCCAATATACTGCTTGCTACGTTCTTAAACACGTTGCTTAAACAAAACTTGGTGAAGATGTTAGCTTCTGGAGCTGTCGCAAGTGACAGAATGGAGTCAAAAGGTGAGCATGTGCGACATCCCTTGATGCTGCAGCCATTTGGGGTCGATTGCAGTCTTTCTGACTTCACAGTTTGCAAAATGGGACATTACGAAGCCGGTGGTCCAACTTTCCCCCGAGCTTTGCCCATGAAGATCCGAATCCAGGGAGTTTCCGGCCGGCTCCCGGCAGGCATTGATGCTGGCAACTTCCAAGCGGCTCTCTTCTGGTCCAACGTCGACGCCATCACAGAGATCCCATCCGACCGCGACATGGACGCTGGCTGCATCCTCATCCAGGATGCGTGGACCATGGCTTCTTTGGGCTCAAGCCCGCGGCTGCAAGGGTCACAGACCCACAGCAGTTTCTAGGGCTCGAGGCCGTCTACGAAGCTGGCAACGCTGCCGGCTTTTTTGCGCATGGGCATCGGTTGCAGAACGTTGCCGTGATGGCAGGGTCCATGAATCTGGACAGCAACCTTGAGCGGCCCAGCTTAAATCATGCGGGAATCGGGCCTTCTTCACTAGGAGCAGCATGTTGCAGGTAGCACAGCATTTGTTGATCTCCTTTGTGCTTTTGTGTGGATGTATGTAGGCTTGAGTGGCTTTTACAGGTGGGATGGCGAAAGTTGCGGCGGCTTCACCGCCGCCGGGAACGCCTCCTCCATGATTTGCGGTGTCATCTCCCATGTTCTGGACTTCCGCGGGGCCTCCCTCTGTGTCGACACAGCCTGCGCTTCGGGGCTCTCGGCACTGGCCTTGGCGGTGGCCGAGGTGGGCCAGGGACGTGCCGAAGGGGCCATTGCAGTCGGTGCCTTGGCAAGGATTCGCGCCCCCGTCTCTCCGTCCAGTTTACCGGGACTCCCAAAATTCGTGCATGGATGCAGAGCCAGCATGCAGAGGTGTAATGTTACAAGGTGGCAGTTGCGGCCAGGAATCATTCGTAAATTAGTCAACCATTGGCCCGCGGATTCCCACAGCGCTTCTGTTGATGAGGAGTGAACGCCATCCTGAATTGGAAGACGACGTATGCTTTGGCCAAGGCCCGGCACATGCATGGTTCAGAAAGAGCATGCCTAGGGTTCTCCAGCGGCCCTTTCGAAGAAGATTTGTAGCAGTAAGCAGTAAGTGGACTTCGCAAGGCGGGGATGATCTCCGACCGCTGCCGCAGCTTCGACAGGCGCGCCAAAGGTTATGGCAGGGCCGAGGGGGTGGCGGCGGTGGCCATCCAGAGCTATGCTACCGTGTCAGGCTGCACCCATGCTGAGCTCCTCGGCATCCACCAGAACAACGACGGCCGCTCGGTGACTCCCATCACACGACCCTCTGCTGAGCAGCAGAAACGGTGCATGAGCGCCATCTCGACTGGCGAAGCCTTGGCAGCAGTGGAGTGCCACGGGACGGGGACGAAGGCCGGCGATCCGGTCGAGATTTCTTCTGTCCAAGCGGTCTTCGGGCAGTCGGCATCATCGGGTGCCCTCTGCATCGGAGCTCTGAAGGCGAACATCAATCACACAGAGTCGACAGCTGGCCTGGCATCGCTTCTGAAGTGCTGCCACGTGCTTGCGTGTCAGGGCATGTTCGCACACGGTGGGGGCCACTGGGCACCCGAAACGAGCATTGATGTGGGGGCACTATCCCTGAGTGACGAATTTCAGCACATCGAGGCCCGGCCGGTGGGAGTGAACTCCTTCGGATTCAGTGGGACCAACGTGCATGCCCAGCTCCAGCCGGCCCACGAGGATGGCAGGGATGGAGGGAGGCCGCAAGCATCTGGAGACCAGGTCCTGCTCATCTCCAGCAAAACCCTGGAGGGTCTGGAGCGGCAGCAAGAGAAGCTGCGAGGGGCGCTGCAGGAGCCGGGCCTCTCAGCCACCGATGTGCAGGAGCTGGCAGGACAGTCGGCGCGCCAGGAAGCCCACGGCCACCGCAAAGTGGTGCTTGTCTCTGAGGCCCAGGATGTGAAGGAGGTGAAGGAGCTTCTGGAAGCCGAGGCTTCAGGTGATGAAGTGCCCATGGTCGTGATTGTGGCTCCCGGAAATGGGTGCCAGACTCCGAGGATGCTTGAAGAGAGCACTGCTTGGAAAATGGCCCTCCTCTTTTTTTTTTTGTGTCCCGGGTTGTGTCCAATCGAAACTGTAGCTAAGCGGAGCCGAGGCTGTTGCTCTTTCCGCCCGCACAGACGCTTTTCCAGGAGTTGAAGGAGGCATTCAAGCTCCGAGGCAAAGAGGTGGATTGGGAGGCCCTGGTGTCGGGCGAGGAGGTGCCAAAGGAGACCTTCCAGCAGCAGGTCATGTTGTTTGCTTATTCGATTCTGGCTTCAAGCTTGGTGTTGCACGCTGGCCTTAAGCCCTACGCGGTGATCGGACACAGCGCAGGCGAATTACCGGGTGCCTACTTGGCAGGCGCTTTTGACCTCCAAAGCTGTGTGGATCTCCTGCGTCTTGGTTTGGACTTCTTGTGCATTTGTTTCTTCCTTAGCCGATTGGCTCCTTGCCGCGAACGAATCTGAGGCTGGCGAAGATTGGGAGTCCTCACACGCAAGAAGGCACCATGGCAGTCGCCAGGAACGTGGATGTCCAGGACGTGGAGGCGGCCCTCACCGAGTTCAACGCATCCGCGGACCCTCACGAGAAGGTTCACATCGCCGCCGAGAACAGCAGCCAGTGTTGCACGCTGACGGGGCTCGACAGCTCCCTGGCGCAGGTGAAGTCCAAGCTCGGCTCTGCGAAGTGGCTGGACTTGAAGCTTCCGATGGCCTATCACCACCAAGAGCTTTGCAAGCCGGCTGCCGATTTCTTCGAGGGTGCCTGGTATCTTCAGCCGCAAGCAGACGAGGGGGCGAGATGCAGATTCTTTTCGACCGCTGCTCGGCTCACAGTGGTAGAGCTGTTTCTGGGACAGTGTCACAATGTTCTCAGCTCAGCCTTCCCCGAGTCGGCACGCCTTGTCAGCGCGCTGACGAGGATACTAAGGTAGAGGGGAAGGAAGTCCAGATCAGCAAGCTGACGGTGGACTACTGGAAGCGGCACACGCTGCACCGCGTGCAGTTTGCCGGCGCCGTGCGCGCGCTGCTGCAAGCTGCTAGCCAATGGGCTTGCAATGTCTGGTAGTGTTTCCAGGGAATTCCAGGGTAGCTCCAAAGCATTCCAAAGCCAAAGACACTTGCAAAAGATCTGCAAAGCAGTTTGAGCTTGAAAGCCGCGTGCATGTTGTGGTGACGATGGGGAAGCGTTCGCCGGCTGCGAGGCGCCACAGGACATCAAGTTCTCTTCCTAGAGCTCAAGAGCCAGAATGCCTCCCACATCAGAAACCTGGCGGAAGAGATGGGGAGCCAAGCAACGGTGAAGGTGCGCCCGTTTGTGGGAGCTGATCGTGTAGCATCTGATGGCCGCATGAAGCACATCATTCTGTCAGCGCGAACTTCCGGCGTTCTCGGCGCCTTTTGTGGTTCTAATTATGGTACTAAACCCTAAACCCTAAACTTCCCTAAACCCCTGAGCAGGTGGAGGCTTTGACAGGAAAGCGCCCGGCGCCCTTGAGCATCCAGAAAGCCTGCGCAGCGCTGTGGGAACGAGGCGGTTTGCTCGGGGTCCTCGGCACCTGATGGGTCCTTAGGAGTCCTCACCAGGATGGGCTCTTGGGCCTTAAAATCATGATAAAAACCCGAAAAAAGGGCCTCATAAGGGATTCTAGGGTGTGATAGCCCATCCTGGTAGGCACGGGGAGTTACCGGGCCTTTACTGCTTCAGAGCCTTTGTGGGGTCTTTTTGGAAGAAGTCTGGGCAGAGGCGTCGACATTGACTGGCAGTGCCTCGTCCCCGGTGCTACTCGTGGCTGTCGGCTCAACCTGGCGCCCATCCTTGCTGTGTCTTGGCTTGGTTTTGTTCGTGTGTCCTTTGGTTCCGTCCCTGCATGGTTCCAAAGAAGGGTTTTTGCTCCCAGTGTTCGGGCATTTGCATGCGTGGAGTGCCATCGAGGTGCAGTTCGACCGCAGCCAGGGCTGGGAAGTGAGGCACCGAGTGGATGCGGATGCTCCCATACACGAGGCATGCGCGCACGAGACTGGACACAAGGATGTCGTTGGCCAACTCATGTCTCCTCACTTCCTTCCTTTTCATGCTGCTTCAACCCTGGAGCACTACAAGAGTTTCACGCAACCCAACCTGCGGCAAGAACCATTAATCATCAATGACTGTATGCGTTTCGGCAGGACGATGCCAGCTGCTCGAGCATCTCCACCAGAACCTGGGACAATTCCATTGGGCAGTGGGCTTGTTCAATCTGGTCAGTGGTCTTTCTTCTTTTGCGCTTGCGCACGGGCTTGGGGGGGGGGGGTTCCCCACAATGCGCGTCGCTCCTCCCATGCCCTGTTCTCGGGGCCAGGGAGCGCCTATATGAAGATGGTTCCAAGCCCGAAGCCCTGAAGCCTTCAAAGAAGGATCAGCGGTCATGGAGCACTCCTCGGTGGATGGCTCGCCGGTGTCGATGGCCACCCGGCGAGCTTACAGCGTGACGGAGCTGTGGCTCCAGGGTTGAGGGCTTAGGGCTAACAAGGGTATATAAATAGTATATGAATGTATATAAGGGTACCATTTATGGCGGGTAGTTACGGTCCAGGATTAAGATGTGCAAGGGCTTTTGGGTGGTCCAGGGGTCAGGGTCTTGGGGTTGTGATAGGCCGTGTCCTTGTTGTATGTTTAAATTATTTGTGGTCCGTGGGAGAGAATACTCGTAGTTGCTGAGAGGTGGTGAAACTTTCTACCCTGATTTCACCATAGGGGGAAGGCGCTCACATATTCGGAGAAAATCACGCAACCCACCGTCATATCACCCGTCAGGTGGGCTCCGAGCACAAGGTGGAGCTTGATGCGGAACAGATTCCAATCCTCAGGCAACACCAGCGCAAGGGCAGGAGGCTTGTCCCCGGGGCGCTTCTCATGGAGATGGTTCTTCAGAGCCAAGGCTACCGCTTCTCTTCCTTGTCAAACTTCCGCTTCCAGCTTCCTGCAGGAGAAGGGGCTGTCAGCATTCGGGTGCTGCAAGACCAGCACGCCACGATCAAGAGTGCAGACGGCCATTTCCATTTTGCCGAGGGCTTCCTTGTGGAGCAGTGCTGCCAGACCGAACACTGGAACAAGATCTCGAAGCAGCTCTCATCCACTCAGAAGGGATTCTTGGAGCAGCTCTGGCCGAGTAGGATGACAGTCAGAGCCGAGACGCTGCTTGAATTGCTGGCGCGCGGTGGCTTGCAGTATGGAAGCGACCTTGCGATCCAGGGCGAAGTGACGACAGCTGACTTCAACAACAGGTTGGCTTGCGCGTTTGGCTCTGTCTCTGTGTGTGTGTGTGTGTGTCTGTCTGTGTGTCTCTGTGTGTCTCTGCGTGTGTGTGTGTGTGTGTGTGCGTGTGTGTGTGTCTGTGTGTTTCTGCGTGTTTCTTGTGCTGTTGAGAGGCCGGAGTGGTTTGCAACGCTTTGCTTGAAACAGGTCAGAGCCATGCTTCGCTCGGGCCCGTGTCCGGTGCCCCGACGCCCTCCGTGCAGGGCGGTGCAGTGGCGGGGCTGCTCTGCTGGATCAGGCGCTGCAGGTCGCCTGGGCACAAGAAAGCTTGCTGGGTGGATGTGACTGCTGCCATAGCCTCCTCAGAGCCATCCTTCAGACCCCAGCATGCCATCAGGTGAGCTTGGGGCTTGCCCTGGCACGGCTTCCTGAAGACCTGCGTGCGAAGGGGGCGGTGCCGACGATGGTGGAGCGGCTGACGGTCTTCAATAAGGACGGCCGTTGGCATAGGGAGGGGTTTCATGAGTAGTTGTGAACATGGGAAATCACCTTTGTCGCTCCCTCTTTGGAAGGAGCTCTTCGAGAACAGCCCTTCTTTGCGAGTTGTTGTCAAGGTGCATCCCCAATTTTGCTCAGCCATTTGCGCCAGCTTCCTGGCAGCCTTAATCATGGATGTGAGAAAAAGCTTCTGCCAACAAAATCGTGGGTTTTTGGTCTTGATGGGCTGTCAGTGTTCTCGGCCTTTGGGCAGGCTTTGCCCTTGAGTCACTGGACGGTACGATTGTGGTGGAAGCGATCAACTTCTGGGGCAAACTGCTTTCTTCGAAGGCTGAACCCATCCATGAGTTGCTGTGGAGACTCGGCTTGTGAGGGCGGATGGGGGCTGTGCTTGTCACGTGTTTGGGCTGTCGCAGGCTGTAGGAATTCGCCGTAGCAGCTCCACGCAAGACACACGAGTCCAGAATTATGGCCCTGCTAGAGTCTTTCCACGGGGTGAAGCCTCGCTTGCAAGCGCAAACATCCTCCTCGGCTGCAGGAACATCGCAGAGACTCCGCTCTGCCACAGTGCCATGGTTGCCGACGCTGGGAGGGCACGGACAGTTGCCGCTTTCATCCATGCGTCTGGGTTGAATCTTAATCCAGGCTCCTGTCGGTCTTTTGGTGCCCGATAGACGACAGCGGGCTCTGCGACCGCGACCCAAATCTACCCCTTTGCGGTCTTGTTAGTCCTGGGACCATGTTAACAGAAACAGACGCGCACGCACGCACCCACGTTCCACCCGCGCACCGGCACACACAAACACACAGGCAAACCCACACTCGCAGACACAGACTAAGACTCACAAGGCGCACAGAGACAGAGACACACGCGCGCGCACACACACACACACACACACGCGCGCGCGCGCGCGCGTGCGCGCGTGCACGCGCACGCGCACGCACGCGCACGCGCACAGCCACACACCACACAACACCCACCCACCCACACCACACGCACCCACACCACACCCACACCACAACCCACCACACGCACACGCACACGCACACGCACACGCACACGCACACGCCAACACTCACACGCACACTCACACCACACGCACACTCACACGCACACGCACACCACACGCACACGCACACGCACACGCACACTCACACGCACACGCACACGCACACGCACACACACACGCACACACACACACACACACACACGCCCACGCACACACACACACACACACACACACACACACACACACACACACACACACACACACACACACACCCACACCCACACGCACACGCACACGCACACGCACACGCACACGCACACCCACACCCACACACACACACACACAAAAGGCCAGACACGCGACACACACAAAGACACACGCGCGGACACAGACAGACACACAGACGCCGACGGACACACAGACACGGACAGACAGACGCAGACAGACACTAACAGACGCAGACGCACGCACAAAGACGCAGACAGACGCGGACAGACGCAGACAGACGGACGCATGGACCGACACACACACACTCTCTCTCTCTCTCTCTCTCTCTCTCCTCTCTCTACATGGGATGAACAAAGGGTGAGGCCTCCCTACTCCTGCGGGAGTTCATGAGCGGCCAAAGCAGGTGCGTTCACACAGGGGTTGGGGAGGCCCCTCCCTACTCTGTTGGTCCGCTGCTTGATTGACAGTGAATCACCATGTTCGGGTGTTGCCACACAAACAGATCTGTGTGGGACACATTCACGAAGACAGCCCAGGACATGGAATCCAGCCTTGTGGGCAAGCTCCTGGAGAAGGACCTCCTCCCGCAGTCCCAGATCAAGCTTTTTGGTCCGGAGAAGCAAGGCGCCAGTGCCAGCCTCTCCTTGGGGCCCGATGAAGTGGACCTCATCCTCTTCGAGTGGACGACGGGCATCAATGTGGAAGACCGAGATGCAAGCGAGAAGCTTCACCGGCAGCTTCGCCGATTCCGCGAGGTGGTGCGCTGGTGCCTCAACCGGCGCTCGGTCCGTGTGGTGGTGCTGACGAGGGCTGCGCCCCAGTTTGCTGGGGGCATCTCTGCAAAGCCTGGGCAGCCTGGGCCTGGGATGTATACGGCCATGTGCAAGTGCCTCGTCAATGAGGATGTGCCAGGCCGGGTGGGCTCTTTCCCCAATTGAGCCACGTTTTTTGGGCGCTGGTCTTGAGTTAATTTGGTGCGGAAGTCTTTCTTGGATCGGCGCTCCAGAAGCAGATGCGCGCAGTCAGTCGGTGCGGAATCGTGCGGAAGGGTTCGCGGAAGCAACTTCTCGCGGAAGCTCTGTCAAACCACCCAGAATCTGCAGCAGATGGGGTCTTGAGCATCGACTTTCGTTGCTCCGAAGCTTCAAGACTCGTACCTAAAATCTCCAAACGCTCTTCGCGGAAGAGGCTGTGCATACTAATGCGAAAATGGTTTGCAGAAGAGGTTTCTGGAAGTAAGTTGAAAAAATGCGCTGCGGAAGCTACTTTTCGACCATTTCTGTGTTTTCCTTGATCGAACAGAAGCCGCGACAGTCTTTCAGTCCTGTATTGCTGCGTTCCTCTCTTCAATGTTGCTCTGAGCAACGCAACGCGCGCATGTTGCGTTTACGTATATATATGTTGTTTGTCTACTTGTTTTCGCGACGCCCTCAGAAGTAGGATGGCAGAAGCAATGTGTTGGCAGCAACCTTCGTCAGATATCTTCAGAACACAAGTGCCAGAATCCATTCTCGCCACAGCCTTCTTGCAGAGGCCGTGGACGCCTCCACGCCATCGAAATGGCGGACGAGATGGACGCCAGCATCTCACAGCTGGGCAAAGTCATTCTCCAACCTCCCGACGATTGCTCCGAGCTCGTGATACGTCAAGGACCTGGCAAGAGTAGGACGAGTATAGGACTAAGGCAGATTGCTGGCCACTAGCTGTACCTCCAACCGTCGTGCATTTCTTTGTGTGCCGTAGGCATGGTGAATCGGCTGGAGCTGCTTCCGCAGCCCCTTGCCTACGACAGCCTCATCGCGGGAAGAAAGCAACGCCCGCCTGTAAGGTGGGGCCCTTCTTCTATGATTGAAAGTTTGTGTCATTGTCTCGGGGCTTAGCGTGCTGGGGTTCTGGAGGTGCAAACTCACCTTGAACCAAGCTTGTGCCACGGGTTCCGTCCTTGCGCTTGAAAGTATGCATGGAACATGCACAGCCCTTGAAGCTCCGACGGCATCTATCTCGTGGTTGGTGGAGCTCGCAAGACCGGCTTGTCTGCCCTGGTGGTGGAAGTGCTCGCTGGCATGGGCGCCGGGATGGTCATCGTGATCGGCCGCAGCGACCTGACGGGGTTTGTGAGAAGATAGGATATGGTACTAGAAAATATCTGGTGAAGTCAGTAGAGGGATGCAAAGGATTTGATCCAGGGGAGCCTATGGGGCTGAAGCTTGCCAGGCAAGGCGGATGGCGACTTCGAGGAGTTTGCCAGGGGCTTTAAGAAGACCAAGGTCTCGGCCGTCCAGGCTGACATCACCCAGGTCGAGGCATTGCGAGAGGCCCCTAGGCCGCAAATTGCCACTTGAGGTTCGACACGACGCCAGAGCGCCTTGCGCAGAGCGCCTTGCGGACGCACTGTTGAAAGAGCCCTTTGCTGTGCTTGCCTCAGGCTTTGAGACGCCATGGCGTTGATGGCAAGCGGGTGAGGGGCATCTTGCACGGTGCTGCCTGCTTCGACGGGGACAAGATGTTCCGGCGCGTCTCAGACGAGTCCTTTGATGCCACCCTGCGCCCCAAGGCCTGGACAACACAGGTAGACTTAGAATCGGCGGGATTCCCGACATGCCCGACTTGAGTATCTGTATGCGTCCATGGTGTCGTGCTCGAAGGTGCAGGGAAGCCTCGCGCTGCTGGAAGCAGCCCGTCTGGAGGGCTGGAGTCTCCAGTTCTTCACCTTTTTGAGCTCCGTGGTGGTTGCCCTCGGCAACTATGGGCAGGTGGCCTACGCAGGCATGGGCGGACTCCAAAGCAAAAGTTTCAGGGACGCTGTGAGCCTAGGAGGGGACATGGGATGTCATGGAAGGAAGATCATGGAAGCACCCAGAATCGAACTGGAATCAACCTGCCTGGAGAGACGGAAGCCAGGCGCCAATGGCTACCAGGCTGACCTAGGCACACACCTCTCGCAGCTCTCGAAGGCGCGCACGGGAACTGGGCTCCTGGGCTCTTGAGCCTGAAGTACCGAAGCGCCCTTCGAATAAAAGTCAACCAAGATGCCAACGGGAGGCTGCCAAACCACAGCAAATAGAGTTTGCCCTTGTCCAGGACCCAACCCTACAAACTCGGCAAGCCTTACAACTTACAACCCTGAACTGGGGCTTCGGGGAGGGCCTCTTCGTGGCGAGAGGCCCAACACAGAATCCGAAGGCCCGAAGCCCTAAACACCGAAAAGCCCGTTCCCCCAAACCCGCAGACCCTGCCACAAGCTGAAGCCTCGAAGACACAGGAGGCTTCGGAGGCTGCAAGTTCCAGGTGATCAACTACACAGTGCTAGACGAGGCTCGGCCCCCTGTGGTTGAACGAGTTGAGGTCATACGAGGACCCCTTTTTTCTGTCTTTTGTAGAAGTACTGTTTCATAAAAATGTGGACATGCAGCAAACGCATGGAGGCTTCTGAGAGGGCTTGAAGTTCTGAAGACCAAGGGTGGGGAAGATTCAGGGTTGCGGAGTGGAGAACAGTCGGAGAAGAGAAGAGATGGTGTCGTGTGGCTTGTGGCGGCAGCAGGATGTTGCTGGCTGCAGAACGCGAGGCTTGAAAACGAGCAGACCAAAAGCACATTTCTGAGCGTGCCGCAGGTGGGCGTGATGAACGGCAAGGCAGACCTTCAGCGGCAGCTGGCCGAAACAAGAGGGTTTCCGGCCATCAACAAAGCCACCATCATGCAGATGCTCCAGGCCCCAAAAATTGGGGTTCTACTTGTACACCCTAAACAGTGCAGAGCTCGCACCCCTTGCAGGTCGTCCTGTGCTCCGAGTTGCCAATGGTAACAGTGGCAACGTTCAATCGCCAGCAGCTCCCCACCCTGGCCCTGGCCAATAACCCTTTCGTGGCCTCCAGGTTCCACACCGTCATGGGTCGTTTCAGTGCAGTGGGCCCAGAGCCCCAGGACCCGGAGGTTGACAGGAGTGAGGCGACGAGCTCAGAAACATCCTCGCCGCTAAACACCGCCGCAGCCCCCAACTTGCCAACGTCTGAGAAAGCGCTGGCCGGACCGCAGCCGGTACCGGAGCCTTCGGCACCCAAGCCTCCGGCAGCCGAGCCGGCAGCCACAAAGAAAGCGTCCAATCCGCCCACCGGCGGGAAGCTTTTGAAGAAGTTCCAGGATATCATGGCCGTCTCGCACCTCTAGGAGTCGCGTCCTTTGCAGTACCAAGGCGGGCTTGAGTCACGCTTGGAGGGTCTCCGTGGGTGTCCTCGAGCACTTGCCCCGAATGCACGCCCTCGCGGCAGGCGTGGATTCGATGATGGCAATCGACATGCAACAAAAGCTCAGGCTCTCGGGCGTGGAGGCGGGCCCCCAAGATTCCAGCAGCGATTGCCTTCCCAACATCTCCCAGTAATGTTCCTTGTTGAACATATTTGAACGATTAGCTTGACCAACTGCAGCCTGCTTGTTGGAGCAGTCGATCCTGTAGCTAGTGTTACTTGCATGTCGAACTTGCTGCCCACACACGTCAAAGCCACTGGCTCTCAACGCAGCCCAGGTAACGGTCGACGATCTTCTGTCTGAGGAGCCTCTCGCGGATCTCCTAGCAAGACTGCAGAGCCAGTAGCCCGAAGCTGTGAGAGACATTCTCGTGTGGCCAAGTGTAGGCTTTTACGTTTTGCTGGTGTAGGGTCCGGGTATGCAAAGCTTGTGTCACGTAGCACATGAAAACTTAAACCACTCGGGCTAGGGAGGCCGTCCGATTCTCCTTCTCATGCTGCTGCTCTCACTCCGATGGGAGACCATTCAGATAATGGTCGGCTCAGCTGAGGGAAGCATCTTTTAAGCTCAAGACAATCTTCTGCACTCCCGGCCGACCTACACAGGCCTACACTCTTTGCACTCGGCTGCTGGAAACCGGTAGCTGCAAAGAGGACCTGAGTACGGGGGAGCTCGACCCGTAGGGTCGTTGAAGACTCTGGTTTGCCTAAACCCTACACCTGAAGCCTTGGTGACGGTTCGAACCCCTGTGCTCTTCGGGAGATGCCTTTTCATTTTTCTCTGCAGCGTCAACCGGAAGCACCAGCGAGCTAGCGTAGAAGGAAAGCAACCCGTAGGGGGCTCACGTGTAAGATTTGCTCCGGTTGTTTGCTGCACATCCTGAACAGCTCAGTTTACTTTGACAAGGTGGGCAGTTAGAAAACATAGTGAGGGCTGCTAAATTGGCAAGTCATGCTCGTGTTTGCCCTACTTTGCCCTACTATGTGAGCATCGGACAAAACTAATGTAAAGGCACTCTTGTCTTGACGTTGCATGGCTACTGGGTTTTATTCATTTTCCTCGGAAAGCGATAGGGGGGCACTCTAAGATGATGCCCGACAAATAATGCGTAGGGGGCTAGTCCTCGAACATCGCTCGTGGCCCACCAAGCATGTTGTGCAACGTTCAACGAACACAGGGTTTGTCAGCCGCTCATGTAGTCGTCTATGCGGAACATGCACACGGGACTTAAGAAGCGTGCTGCACTGCACTCTGCGAAGGCTTTTAGATTCAGACCTCCCCCAAAAGAACCCGGAACAGCGAGCAGAACAGACAAATCAGACCATAGCAGGCATCATGGCGTCATCATGGCGTCATCTTGCAGGGCTCCAGGTTGCCGATCTCCTCCCAACTGCTGCTTGTGGCTTAAGCCGCCCACCGACTCCCCACCGCCTCCGACAAATTCTGCCCTGCTCTTGCAGCGATGGCTCCCATGAAGGCCCCCGTCTAAAGATTTAGGGTTTAGGGTTTAGGGGGTTCTCTTTCCCTGTGGAAGGTGTGGGGGATTTGGGACAATGCAGGACAAGAAGGGCCTTTCACGCACATGCCGGGATTGAGTTGCTTAGGCTTTGAGTTGGGGGACTTGGGCTGCTAGGCTTGTGGAGATCTGAATCTTGCGACTAAGAATTAATAATTATACATGTGTATATATATATATACATACATACAGATGATATATTTTTTTTATAATATGTATGTATATATATATACATATATATATATATATTATAGACATTATAGACTTTTTGGGACCCTTGCTCAAGTCAAGTACCCTCCAGAGGCCTCTGGTTTCCAATGCCAAAGGCCCTTCAACCGCCTCTTCCCCCGAGAAGACCGGTAGATTCCCGGTAGTCTGTCGAGTCGGGGTCCCCTGAAGGCCCCATACCAAACAGGGCCCAGCATCAGCTCTCGTGTCTAGGGCAGTTTGCGCCTCTTTGCGGGCTGTTTCAAAGGCATCCGCCGGAGGAATTCTTCCCAGTCCGCCGTAGGGAATCCATAAAAGGAGCTCAATGCCGAAAGCATGGTCTCTGGAGCAACAACTGAAACCCTTTCAACCCTAGCCTTAAAAACCCTAATCCTCCTGCATGCTCTTCAGCTTTATTCTACGCCCTCCAGGCAAAGGTTCTAGCATAGCCCCCAACACCTTCGACGCCTCTGGTGAGGCCATGAAGGCGATGAAGGCAGAGAGTCCGCACCGGGCTGTCTGGGATCATCCGGATCCTTGTGGGGGTTTCCGAAATTCAGGGTACTTTATTGACTTTATTGGGGTCCTTTTGTTCAGGGAATCCTGGGGTCCCTTATGTTCGTAAACCCCCCCCCCCCGTGTCTTTCCCTGTGTCTTGCGAGAGTTCAGGATGCTAAGTATTGCTTGCAGGCAATGAAGGCCATGAAGGCCATGAAGGCCTGGTGCATGTTGCTTCTGCAATCCTTTCCCATCCCTCCGAGTCCCTTCCAGGGCCCAAGCGTTGTTCACGTTAAGCGTTTCGGTTTGGGAACTAATTTATTTGGGGGAAAGGCGTTGTTGAAGTAATGACAGCGGGAAGGTATTCGCGGTCTCAAGTTCTCTGCGTTTTGTCTCAAGTTGTTTGCATGCCATCACTGGCACTTCCTTATCCCGAAGCGGGCTTGACGGCGCAGGCCATGAAAGCCATGAAGACCATGAAAGCCATGAAGGCTGGGCTCCGGAAACGTTGACTTGAAGTTGGCTTGGCAGGTGCAGTGCAGCGCAGTGCAGCGCAGACACCAAAGCAAGGGCACCTGTCGTCGATCTTTGCACGAGCACTGCAAGCACCTGCAGACATGCTTCGGCAAGCAATCACAGATTTCACCGACCCAAGACACCGGGAGCCCTGCTGCGAAGTCCAAGGTCAAGGCCTCCTGAGGTACGAACACAACCAACAGCTCCCTGGAAGATGGCAGGTCCTTGTTTAGCCAAGTTTCCCGGGAATGTCCCAGACCACATTGTCGTTGCGGAGTCATCCTAAGCGCTGACAAGTCCGAAAGCATGACGTGCTCCGTTGCATGTAGCGCTGTCAGGCCATGAAGTCCATGAAAAAGGCAGATGACGAGGAGGCGCCCGCGATGAAGACCATGAAGGCCACCGCCCCAGTGGCAGATGGCAAAGCCAAGCTACAGCTGCACTTAAGAGTATGGCAAAGCCTCTACAACTGCGGCAGGCTCAAAGCGTCGGCTTTGTTCTGTCATAGCATGACAGTGGCCATTTTCCAAGGTCTATCTAAGCAACGAAATCCTGGCACCACCTGTAGCAGTGAATGTTTCGCCCGCACTAGCATCTGGGCACTTGCACATATGAATCCGCGAGTCCAGTACAGCCTGGGCCATGCTTCAAGCATCACGAACCGTGGTCTCAGGTCAGACCTCAAAAGCAACCTCCCAAGCATCAACATGCCCTTAGCTCGAACACGGAATCGAAGCCTCGCAGAGCGACCCAAACCAATGACTCCGTATGGAGGGTTCCGATGAATCATGGTCGCGCATGCAGCTTGAGGCGATGAAGGCCATGAAAGCCATGAAGGACGGGCGAGAGCTGCGCTAGACTTTCCCGAGCTTCTGCGCTTGCCGCGGCACCTGTATTGGAATTGGCGCGCACGCACAATGCGCACGCACAATCGTGGCATCAGCTCGCTGGCTACCGAGTAAGAAGTGTCGCAGAAAGTAGGCACGGAGATGCATTCTGAAAGCCTCAGCCTGCCAAGACCTGAGATCACGTTTTGTCCAGGCGATGAAGGCGATGAAGGCGATGAAGGCACGAAGCACGGATTCCTTTTCTTCATTCGTCAAAACTAAACCCTCTGAAACCAGGGTTCAACCACTCGAGTTCTGGGTCTAAATGAAAAAGGAGGATGTTTTCGACAAAAAACTAACGTGTATACCTCTATAGTGGCCTGCGAAAGACTGGCGAAAGATGCTACGTCGCACTTTTCGAGAAGGTTCTGATAATATGCTCTGCGGTTGCTCCTGATTTCTTTTTGTGACAGCAGCTCTAGTGTTGCTGAAGAATTCCTTGCTCAAGTCCTGCCATGCCTCGCTAAACCACCGTCGGGCAAGTAGGATCCAGGGTTGTTGATGAGGAATTCTTCATGAAAGTCCGTGAAAGCGCAGGGAACTTGTGAAGGCCCCGGCCCTTTTCGTCTTGTGCTTGAGGCCACATACATGCAGGTAGCATTCGTCTAGTCGTTGGCGGATGGCCCGCCTACCCGAGAGCGGCCTGCGCACATGAACCGTGCAAGAAACAATGACCCAACCTGCCTTGCATTACAGAACTCTAGACTCTAGACGCTATCTCCAACGTGCTGCAAAGCGTGGCTTATATGTAACATGTTGACACAAGATGAAGAAAAAAGTCCCTGCGAAAGGTTCCGAAAGTAGCCGCGGAAGCCTTTACGCTTCCGCGACGAACGTAATTTTCCGCGTGAAGGAGTATTGAGCAACCATCCAAGCTTTTGCAAATTAACATTTTTGATCATTTTTGTTTTCAGGCTTAGGTTGCGTGGACAATGACCGGTTTTTGTTCTGCTTTCTCATCCTGGAATTGAGCATAATTGAGCCAAGCAACGAGCACCGCATCAGGCTATGAAAGCCATGAAGGCCGGGCTCATGTCACTGTAATCTGCAATCGTGTGGAATCAGGCTTTCTGCAGGCTTTGTGCTCGCAGCTTCAACAGTCGCCTGTGACTGTGAGATCTGTCAGCCTGCGCATGCCCTGGAGGCGATGAAGTGAGCAGTTTTAGTTATGCAGTCGTGCAGCGCATCTGAGCAGGTCCGTAGGGCCTGCCCCTTCACCCAGAAAGCTGGGATGCACACTGCCCTACAGCAGAAAAGGATCGGCGCAAGAACGTGGCTTGACGTATGCATGGCCACTG